TGAAACCTACTTCAAGGGGCATTGTACGTCAGGTAAGTGGTTAGTAAGCCTAGTCTCCCACAAAAGCCATGGTTATAAGTTATAAGTCTCTTCAGTGGGTTATAACCAGGCTTACCACTGGGGTACCCGATCGCCCCTTTTACCTAGAACACGGTTAGGATGCGCCGTTTGATATCAACTGTTCTTCCCCTTGTTGGTCCTCTTGTAGTACTCTTTTAATATCGTACAGGGGATCCACAAAGCCGCATCCAAACCGTTTTCAGGATATTAAACGTACGAAAGCTGATCCGCCATTTGTGTCGCTCGGGGCTTGCCTGGGGTACGTTCTGCACAACCGTTCAGGCGGCAGCCAGGATGCAGGCGCTCCATGAGGCAAACGGGACAGCTTTTGATGCCGTGAGGAAATTGGGTCTGAAGAGGAATGTTGTCGTTTTTTTTCTTTCCCCCCCCAGTTTCAGGTACAGACATGGGAAGGAAGCCACTTTCTTTTTCCCAGACCGTTTCAGGCAATTACCCCTTTGGCGGTTGGATCCGATCGGTTTGACCCCTGATTCTGGAGAGATCATGGTTGTCGTTGGGAAGCATTTTGCATTCTTGCTTATTGTGGTTTAGTGGGAAATCCCCCCCTTAACTGCTAAAATTTAATTTTGTTGCTCCCCTTCCAACGTCAACCAAGTGATTCTGGAGAGAGAAGTTCCAGAACATCGCCAAACCGATTGATTCGGCTCAGCACCACTTCGAGGGCTCAAAGCTGAAGAAATGGGAAGCCAAACCCCCGGAGCCAAACCTTAAGCTGAGAGTTGGCTCCTTTTGAAGCCTTAAATGGCTGTGACTCAAAAAGCGGAATTCCAAAATGGCTTGCCCTGGTGGAAACATGGACCAAACCCTGCGGTTTGCCTCCGGTTTAATTTTGAGCCACACCCAAATGAGGAAGAAACCTAAGGTCCAAACCCCTTAAGGAAGCTGACCTACTAGGTCCCCCAGTAGTGCCCTTTTACCGACTTTTTTTGGGGAGGGTTCCCCTACCAAAATCGACTACCTGACAAAAGTTGGTGCCCTTATTCTATCCTCTCTGCTCAAAAACCTAGTAAACCAGGCTACGACATCACCAACTGATTCAGAAAACACCATGTCAAACTGATTCTCCAACAAATGCTCCTACTGACTCACCAACTGATCTCCTTTTGAAGCCAAATGGGTATGGGTTTAAATTGAACTACCAGGGACCGCAGGTTTTAGTCCTTCTTTCCATGTGACAGGCTTCCATTTGTGGTGCCTGTTTTTGACCCACAGCCATATTGAGACAACCCAACCTCACTTTCCGAATGCTCCCATTTTGGGGGCCCGCGAAGGTCAAGCCACAGGTCAAGCCCCAAAATAGGGAAGGAAACTAAGGTTCAAACCCAAGGAAGCTGACCTCGTTCACGTCCAGGCCATGGAGTCCGCGCGCCTGGCCGCGAAGAGCGGGCCGCTGTCCTTGGGAACGGGGGGGCTGATGTCGGAGGCGGGATGGACCAACGGTCAAAGCAGATGTTTTTCAGGGGTGCGGCCGTGTTTGTTGCCTCCCAACAAGGTGTGTGTGTGTGTGTTTTGTGTTTTTTGTGTGTTTGTTTGTGGTTGCTTGCTTGCTTGCTTTTTTGTTTGTTTGCGGTTTGTTTGTTGTTTCTTTTTTGGTTGGCGGGTTGTTTTGGGAAGCAAGTCTGGTTCCCCCTATTTTGGCACATGCCCCCATCTCCCGAACTTGCCATTGCGGAAACATATCCTTGAGTTGAGAACTACCCCGATTGGGGAATGTGCTAAGTTGAAGGACGTGTTTGTAGTTCTCCGAATCTCCTGAGTTGTCCCTATTCCGAGTTCCTGAACTTCACAAAATCTTTGTAAAAAACAAAACGTGGACGTTTGCCAGTGAAATGCGAAGTGCTTTGCTGGAATGTTCCAGCTGAGTGAGTTGTGGAGGCAGACTCCATTTTCTGGTTTGGAGTGCAGGACATGCAAGGAAGCGCTAAACATACCACAGAGACGGGCTTAAACGGTGAACGTGACTTCGTGGCAAGAGATGGGAACGCCAAAATCAAAGCAGGGGAGCGGATTTGGCCTAAATAAATAGAATGCGGTACAAACGAAATCAAAAATCAAGTCATTGTTTTCCCCTTGCATTGCGTCCCCTGAGTTGCCAGTCTTTCGAGGAGTCCCCTTCTTTTCTGAAAACCAAGGCCTGGGAAAAGGCCATCTTCAGGATGGAAGGAGGTTCTGCCAGAATTTTGAAGGGATGCTGCTTTTCAGCACCCAAAAGCAGCGGCGGGAGCGCATGGGGGCGTGATGGATTTGAGCTGCGCGCTGCCATTGCGCCAGGGCCTTCCGGGTTTGTCACAATCGCCTGTGGCGCTTAGGATGTTTCTTACCCACTGGGAAGAAGATCTATTTGAGGAACTCACATCCCAACTTTCTGGTCGATGGTTGCTTTTTTGTACTACCGGGGCAGTATGCGTAGTACTAGCGTCACTGTACTCACTCGGCGGTATGGACATTGTCATTTGTAAGGGAGTGCGACCCAACCGAAACCGAGCCAAGCCAATTTGATGCGCGTCTTTCGTATGACGCGGATTTGGTGCGCGTCCTTTGTAGCGTGCGAGGCACAAGCTGCCTTCCGTGGCCGTGGCACTTTCCGTAAAGCGTACCCGCCTTGTTGGAAAACAGAATCCACGGTTCTTTGCATGCCCTTCCGAGCAGAAAATGCTGTGTTGGGAATGCTTTCACCCCCCTCTCGCACGTTGCGGGTGTATCTGGAGAAAAACACGCATACAGAGACTCATATAGCCATGACCTCAAAAGTGGTTGGTGGACGTGCATCTCCACCCAAATCATGTCCACCAGACGGTCCAAACACCTTGCCAGACTCATCCATACGACCCGCAGGTAGACCGGGCCTCAGCCGAAGCCGCGGATGCCATCATCACACTGGGCCAGGCGGCTGACCATCGAGCGGTGGATTTGCATGTGTGTGTGTGTGTGTGTTTTTTGTTGAGGGAGTTCTTGGAGGTTGGCTGAAAGGGAAACCCAACATTAAAATGAAGCCAATCATGTTAAAGGCAAACACCCATGGAATCAAGGACCCTACAACCTCCCAGCCTTCAGTAAGATTATTAACCCAGGACCCTAGGAAGGTTTTTGTTGGGGTGGGGTTCTTGAAGCTTCCAGCTGTTCTTTTGCGGGTGGTGCTAATATCACTTGTTGGGGACTCCAGTTGGAACCCTTTTTCCAGTGGAGTGTTTTAAATGGGGATACATACAGGATGAACTCGAGTTCAGCTCACCCTTGTATGAGCATCTGACACCAGAGCATCGTGAATGAGCACTTGACACCTTCGCACCAGCACTCAAATTGTTTGCTTCATATACGCATAAACATATACACATGACATGTGTATACATGCGCATATGCCCAATTTTGTGTGTACGCTATAATGAATGTATATATATATATATGCACACATTTTATGTGTGTTGCGTACATTTATTCCATAGAGATGCATTTGCCATCCCGGTGCCTCCCAAACTCGAGGCCAAGTCGGAGGCACAGAACGCCGCGATGCGGGTCGGCAAGGCCAGCGTTGGTCCCAGCTGTGCCTGAAATGCTCGTTCAACCAAAAGGTTGTTTTGAGAAGGGGTTTGAAAACCCGCACGAGGAGGATTTCCCAAGATGGTGCCCCAAAATCGACCGTGTTTCCCGAAACCTGACCAAAAACGTGGCGCATTGTGACATTTTGTGGATTCGACTTCTTTGGCTCAACTTGACTTATTCGAACGGATATGGGGTCGATTCAACTTTGGCGTTTGGCCGCGACCTTGACCAGTCTGAAAGCGCTTCGGAGGGCTCCGGTGCTTTTGTTTCAGGGCGGTGTCTAGTTTTCTAAGAATTCCCGTGATTCCACGCAAGGGCAACGTTACTACATGGTTGTTGTTGGGAATCATTTTACATTTTTGCTTATTGTGGTTTAGTGGGTAATCCCCACTTAACTGCTAAAACTTGAACTTTTGCTTCCCTTCCAATGTCAACCAAGACAAATCACGTTGCCCTTACAGATGTGGGCAAGGAAGGCAACATGGACTCGTCATGGCGAGGTTGCGAACCCGTGGGAAGCGCCCCTGGTGTCCCCTCCAAGTTGGATTTCAATCTGCGGTGTTTGGAGTTCGGCTGGTGTCTTTTTCTGTCATTTGCTGAAATGAATGGTTTCTATTTTCCCCCATTGGTTTTAAAGGGAATCAATTTCACTACTGGAAATACTTGTTATTTTTTTCCAGGGCACTCTAAACACAAATGGAAGATCCCCTTAGCTTTTCAGCTTTCTAGGGTTCAGTGGGGGTGATCTGAGGGGACTCCAAACGCAAATGGATGTTTTGAGGGAACTTTCTGGAACTCCAGCCTGTTAGAACTCATCCACGCCCGGGAGCTGGCGAACCGGATGGGATCCTGTTGCCCGGAGAGTCCTGGCTCCTTTGGACAAAGACAGCCCTTGACATGTGGCTGTGGGTCAAAAGTAGGGTAACCCCAAGATGGCTTGCCCTGGCAAATGGATACATGGACTAAAACCTGAGGTCCCCTAGTGGTTTATTTCTGACCCACACCCATTTACCTTCATTTAACCAAATGTTAGATGCCCTCTCCCATCCCCATTTTTTCAGGGCAGACTTGTCCTCGACCCAAAGCTCTGAAAATCGAATCCGCATGTGCGGTTTGATGGTGTTCTTTGCCAGGTCTTTGCCACTCAATCGTTTTTGGGGAGTTCGGCAACCACTGGTTCCGAAGGAAGCTTTGAGCACTGTGGGGAAGCCATGGCCCGTCTGGCATCCTCGCGTCGCGCGATCCCTAGGATCAGTTTTGTGGAGAAGCTTGGAATGCCTCAAAAAGGGATCCGGTCGACTGGGTCCAAAACGGGACCACCCTCAAACCCAGAAACTACGTGCCCAGCCAGGGCACTGTGCTGAGAAATGGATGTCGGAATGGGGGTCCCTTTTTAAAAGAGACTGCTTGAAGGAGAACCAGGGGTGGTGGTCCAATGATTTGTGCAGAAACTCGGATATTCGTCCAAAGACTGCCACCTCTTGATCAAGATGGCGGAGATAGGATGCTCCTACCAGACGAACCGAGAGATCGCTGTGGAGATCATTACGATCCATCACGCGGCTTCAACGAACGCCTTAGGCAAGCCATGGGCTGCTGCCTTCATTCCCACCGATGATGCGATTTGCGTCGGTCAACCATGAACCTCTTTGCGTCGGTCGCCTGTGATCCACTCCTGGCAGCAGCCAGCCTCGGTTTGCGGTAGGTTGATTGAGGTTGTTCATCCAGAGCTAGTCTTGCACTTCGAAACACAATCCCACAATCCAGGTGCTTCTCGTCCTCTTGGCTTCTCACAAAATCCAGGCTCGAGGTTTGCAGCGCAGGTCTTGGGCAAGACCTGGCAAGTGAAGATGGAGGAGCTTATGGCACGGCGACCCAGCGGAACAAAAAAATGAAAAAGACCAAAGACCCGCACTTGGTTGCCGCATCTGTTCAGACATCTTGAAGGACAGAAACTGGCATCAAGTTCCAGGCTGCCATGGAAATATGTGGAAAAAACAAATGGGCGATAATCACAGAGGGAAGCACCATAAACCTTGCATTGGCTATAACATTGAGTATGCCCATTTTGTCATTTCTTCACTGTTATTGGCATGTTTTTTTTAGTTTTTGTAGTTTGTTGGTTCTGTTCATTTTTACTGGGGGTCTGCAAAAAACAAAGTTTGTTGCTAGCATACCAAGAGTAGAGATGATTTGCTTAAGAACATGTGTTTGTTATGCCCTGTTGGTGTTGAAATTGAACTCTCCCCCTGTACACAACAGCGAGAGCCCAGCACGCCGGCAGACCCAACAGCCGACAGGCCCCAGCACCCCACTGAAAAGCAGGTGTCCATTGTTTGACTACCCCAATGTAGACTTAAACGCAGGAATCGGTCACAAGGCACAACCCCAATCAAAACATGGGGCCTTGCTCAAGCCAGTTTGACGCGGGTGGATAGATCTCAAAGTCTCACTTGCCAGCCAGCCTTGCACACTTTAGTGCAATGCGCCTGAATACACCTTAGCCCAACTAAAATATATGTGTGTAACATGAGCAAAGGAAGATTGCCCGGATCTTCTGTTTGCTATCATACATCATGACAGAGTGTCGCCTATGTTCCTTGCTTCCCTCCTACATTCAAGCATTCATAGGACTACAAGTATTAGCGCTTCACGTAAGGAATCCAGCCAAATACGAGCCCTTGATTCCCTCAGATTCCCACTCGGGAGACTTCAGGTTGTCCATAATGATTAATCACTCCTAGTATCGCTTAGCAACAGTCTTAACCAGGGATGTGTTAATGGCCTGTACAGACTACAGTCTTCTTTGCCGTACTTGCTTTCACAAGACTTAGTCCTTAACGGTTGGGGGGAGGGTCTTTGGGAGGGTGGGGTTCATGATTGCACCTATTGGAAAGTCCCTGGATCTTCGCCACTCACTGACTGGGGTTGCGCAAAGGCTGTTTCAATAGGTCTAACTTAAACCATGGTTCCAACAGGGAGTTGCCCCAACTGGTCATTCAGGTTTCTACATAACACAGAAAAAAACGTCTTGAAGTTCCCCAAATGAAACCAAAAGAACCTGCCTGACCTGAATGAACCTGAATGAGCTATTTACAGCAACAAAAAAACAAAAACCAAAGAACATATGTTCCCTCGATTTGGTCCACCCCCCCCCCCTTGGCACTTGTTTGCTTTTTCAGCATACGGCCGCTTCAGGCAGAGCACCGCCAAGTGCCCGACGTGGTGGCGGAGCTTTCCCGTTTGGAGACGGAGAAGCGGCCAAGCGCGAAGCCCAAGGACGCTCAACTCCAACTGCTTGAAAAATCTGTTCCGAGTGGATGAGGAGTGGTTGGATCAACCTGAAAACCAGCAGAACGGTCCACTCTGGTGACTGTTTCTGATGGGAAAGTGTCTGCAAAGTTTGAAGTTTTTGGGTATATTCTAGCTGCGCAGAACCGCCTATGGGTAAGAATTGCGAGGGATGTATTGTGAGGTAGTTCATAGTGAGCTAGTTTACCTTACAGCCAGAAGTTTATGACAGACCTATTTTCTGTGACCAAATATTGGTAGAACCCACATTTCCTAGGTAATTTCTCCGCTGCTTTGCTGAAGTGGGGGTGTCGATTCTAAGACAAGCTCGCAAAATCAACCTGAAGTACTGGCCCAGAGAGGGCCAGAGCTCTAAAGAGGCCCCACTGCTTTGGCTGCAGCTCGAGGGTGATAGAGGAGGTGCTTGAAGGCCTGGTACCTGAAAGGCAATATGTGTTTGGGCATAGAAGACTCACATGTGTTTCTAGGTTGCGGCCATTTGGGTGTTTGTTTTCTTGCCAGGTACCTCTTGTGAAGATTGTTTTGATGGGGAGCCAAAGGAAAGCCACACAAAGACCGGATAGACACGACAGCTTAGTTTCGAGGCCCGGTCAAAATTCTCAGTTGTCTATGCCAAATTTGCGAGGGACATTGCTTAGAGGCAGTTTCTAGTCACCATGGTTACCCATGGTCGCAATTCCCCGGTCAGTGGGTTATAACCAGGGTCAGGGTTGTAAGCATGTGGCGACTTCTCGCAGAGCATCCAAGGAGGGGAGGATCTCAGTGACTTTCCCATGGGCTGAGGGCTCAGGTGATTTTTTGTCTAGGGTAAACTACAGACCTAATGTGAAACATCATCTGAAATTATGTAGGCTGAGATGCTGACATGGAAGGTCACGTAGAGGAATCCCAAGAATATTACAACCAGGAACCCTCGACTAGGAGGGCAAGAATTGTTTTTGAGCCTCCTCAATCAAAGTGAGATTTGTTTGGGTGTGTCTTTTCTAGACCCCCAAATGGTGGTTTTCCTGTGGCTTCCTTTTAAAACCACATAAAAAAGAGGGGTACCGCCTCACAAATAGACTTCCCGTTACGCTTTGTTTGGATGCCGAGTTCCGGGAGGTAATGGGCCTCCACCAAGCCCAGGAGTCCGAGCTTGTCATCTGTTGATTTGGAGTTCTGATTCTGAAGTCTGAAGGCAACCCAAAAGGTGGGGGTAACCCGACAGTTGCTAACCCTACAGCTGGGTGAAAGTACATGGCAAAATCTCTCATTTTGGTTTAGTCACGCTTTTTACTGACCATAGACGGAGTCGTGCCATCTACTTTCACGCATCTAAAGGAGAACAGGGGGTCCTTCCCCCGAAAGATTCTGAGCTTCCGCGAAAAGATAGTTTGTTGGGCGCTTCTTGTCATTTCGGGAGACACCCTCGATCCTCAAAGCGTTTTGAGCGTTGGAAATCGCAGGACACAAGCAAGAAGGGCAAGGACCCCGCGACCGTCCGCGTTTGTTTTCAATTCGATCAGTTGTTAGTCTCCAATGGTGGTTGCAAGCCCCGGTGCCTGTGAAATGGGGAAGGTACGGGTTCCATGCGACTGAACCACACCGAACCTAGCCAGAAAAGTAGGGGCAAGATGGTTGGTTGTTGTTGTTGTGTTTTTTTGGCTGGGTTTTGGGAAGGTTGCCACATGAGCCGATGGCCATGTTCCCTTTCGCATCTACCAGGGAGATGTGAGATTTCCACACAAATGGGGGGATCTCAAGGATCTTCAGTTAGTATTTTCAGGGAAACGAGAGGAAACCAAGCACGTGATAGACACTCAACTGAGTACCTTCCACAAGGTTCCAAGAACGAAGTTCGATGTGGCAGGAGCAAATTCTGTTCTGGTCTGGAAAGCTGGTGTGAAGCTTGGTGCTCCCCAAATGTTCCGCTCAGCGGACTGGAAGCCTTCATGTTCGAGTGGGAGGTTCGCCACAAAACCTGCCTGAAAGAGGGAACATGAATCCGCACGTAAGGATTCGGGAGGTGACAAAGGGGCACCCAACATGTGTAGTGTCCCTCTGGTTTCTTTTCAATCCAACCCTTCGCAAAGAAGCAGGAAATCCATGACCATGCACCGAATCGAGCGAAACGGCTCAAGTTCTAATCAGCCAGTTAAGATCGCTTCTCAAAGGGATTCCTGAGCCATCCCGTGTTGTCTTTGGATCCCTACTGTAGATGGAGCAGTTGGTAAATGGCGGATCTCACTATTTATAGGGCTTCATTTATCCCAAGTGGTTTTTGGATTTCGTCCACGCACAGTAGGTTCATTCCCTTCTGAGTTGCCCAAAGCCGACCTTTTCACCTTTTGGTTTCCCCATTTTGGTCCATTTTAGTCATGGCCTTTGGGCAACCAAGCCAAACCTCTTCTTGATTCCCTGACCAGCTGATATAGAGCAAAACCTTCGAAGATTCCCGACTAGAGATGCCCGGAGGACAAAGGCAAGAAGACGAGGTAGCATCTCGCCAAAAACAAATGGCCCGAATGGGCTGAGGTACCCTCCAAGAGCACATAGAACCTGACGTGAAAAAAGGTCCTTAGAGGACAATGGTCCAGAGGCGCAGTTTGTTCAGGTTCTTCAGGTTCCGTGTGAATGTTTTGGGAGGGTACTTTGGTTGATCTTGGCGGCGCAAGCCTGCGGTCGACTGTTTTTCGAGCTGCAGTCGCGCAAAGCGGGGGTTGCTGTCGCGGCGAGCGGCACGCGGAAAGGGTGCTGGGTCCTCCTGTTTTGGGTTGCAGGACATCAGAGCTTTATCAGAGCTTGTTAGGTTTTTGTTGGTATAGGAACAACCCTTTAGGTGTCCCTTTGCGGTATAGGATCTGGGGTTTCACTGTTTGGGATAGGAATCACCATTTGGGCGTGCCTTTGTTAAATAGGGCAAGCCTGTTTCAGTCTGCCTTGGGGTTTCAACAGGACAGGTATCCCTTTGCGTCAAAGACATCCTTTTGACCTACCGTGGTGAATGCGCCGGGACGACATGCGCTTTTCCCGAATTAGAAACATATGGTATACGGAATTGCGATGGGGAGCACCCTGAGAAATATTCAAGATCGTGGGCATCATGTAAGTGATGCCCCTAGTTGAAATTACACCCTAATACACATAATCATACCCAGATATTGATACTAAGTTGTCCTGACAAGATTCTATTTTCTGAGAGTACACTTAGTCATATCAAACTTTGGGAGTTAGCCCATTTCAGGAAACAACTACAGGAGCTTCAATCAAGGTGTCCAGTTGTCTAGATTATATATTGCGGTTCGGACATGGTCCAGTAGAGGAGCATCATATTTTGATCACGGCTCCCAGCACCCTTCGTAGTTGTTTTCCAAGGATAATTGGCCAGTTCATTGATTGAAGAAACCGCCTCTCGCGCTGCACCTGCTATCCCTTCGTCTTGGGAACTGCATTTGTTGCACCAGGGGGGCTAGAGATGTCCTTGTGTGAGGGGTGTTTTTTGTTTGGCGGCCACATGGTACCTCGGTTGCGCGCGATTGGGATGTGTGGTTTCGTTCTGATCCGAGCTGTTGCCGGCCACCGAACTCTCAGCTGGCACTAGCTTCGAATGCCTTGCCGATTTCAAGATCTGAGCTCCATTCACTGATTCAAAAAAACAAAATGTCAAGGGACAGCTCAGCTTTGGGAGCGGAAGGTCTTTTAATTCTTTTCAGGTGGGCTTCTGCCCAGAATTATGGATCCTTCACAAGGGAAGGGGTTGCGGGTTCCTTTTCTGACCAAGCCCTGTGGGTTAGCATCATGTCAGGCCAGGTTTCCCAGAGACTTAGCGACCGAGGCCACATGACAATGTTGTTTAGCAAATTGTGTTTGTTTCCTCCGAACAGGGACATGATCATGACTGGTCAATGTCTCTCCTGTTTGTTTGCTATGTGTTTGTTTGTTAATGTGTTTCCTTGTATATTTAGTTGCGTCTTTATTGCCTTATATGTAGTTGCTCTTTGTTACCTGATTTATTCATTTATCTATTTATTCCAGATTTATTCATTTATTCATTTATTCATTTATTTATTTGTTGATTTATTTATTTATTTATTGATTTATTTGATGCGTTTCCACTCACTCGCTATTGGGAACCCGCGACCCGAGAAGGCACTCGCTCATCTTTCCGCCGAAACGGCCACGACTCGGCGGAAGAAAAAAAACGTCAACGGAAAAGGCGGGGGGATGGCTGGGCTCATTAGTTTGGTTTTGGGGGTTATCAAAGTCAGCAAATGGGTGTGGCTCAAAATTAAAGGGCCAGGGATACGCAGGGGTTGGTCTTTGGTTCCATTTACCAGGGATCCATTTTGGGTACCTATTTTCGACCCACACCCAAATGGAGGTGTTTTAAATTTCCCTTTACCACTTCGGGGGTGACTTTGATCAGGGTAAAAAATGATGGGGCCAGTATGGGAAATCGGGTTTATGCGCCACTTCACCTGGCGGCTCCGAGCCGTCCCCGTAGGTTTTCGGTTTTTTTGGTGCCTATATAGTGGGGTTTCCCATTTAACCCACCGAATGTGAAACTTGCGGGGGTCTGGTCTGAGGACAGCCCACTTGAGGTTCCCTTTTTGGCCAACTTGATTGTGCCACTTTCTGTACGAGGAAAGGAGTTCTTGAACATGACATTTTGTTCATACAGCAGACCGATGCTTTTGTGAGATTCCGTCGTAATGTCCAGCAGTCTTGGGACGAGGGAACTCACACAATGTCCCGCAAGACCACTCAATTTCCCACGTCCTCTTGGGGTAAGAGTTTTCACCGTGGCTCTGAACAGCGGGATTTGGATGTTTCTTGCGGTTCCATGTGGGTGTTACCCTCAGGTTGGTGAGGGAGACCAGAAGAGAGCCGAAGCTTTTGGGGGTCCCCGTTTTCTGGACGCATGCCCTTGTTCAGCTTCCCTCCAATTGGTTTGGATTGGTGGTTTGGGTTTGGATTTGAACCCCTAGAGGGTAAATGGGAAGCCTTCCCCTAACCACCAAACCAATCCTCACCACCAAACAAGGTCAAGCTGACTTGTATGGATTCTCTTCCAGGTCTCTTCGGAGATGCGCAATGCTGGCTATCCAGAGGCCCAGACTCGGCGGCACGTCTGGCGGGCACGTCTCTCTCACTTCCGATTTATGGGTGACATCTTGTGCCGCAGAACCCGTGTAGCATCCTTCCTATTTGTTGGAACTCATTTACATTGTTCCCATTTTGGGACCTCCAACAGTTGCAGTTTCAAGAGAAAGCACCACTAAAATGGATCAACTTTTGAAGGAGACATTTCTTCGAACCCATGGGTCGCACAACTTGGTTCGTCAGTTGCGAGCCCGTTTTTCGCTCTCCGGGAGAAAGTTTCCCTCAAGACTGGCGCTCCTACCAGCGTCATTACCGGCTGTCTTCGTGCGGGACTACAAGGCTTAACTTTTGCCGGGGTCAAAGACCCACTTAGCAGAGGAGTGTTTGTTGGCATACATCCCTTGACCTGTTGAAGTAGCTGGTGCTTGTTTTGCTTTTTTTTGGCTGCTTTCTTGGCTTTTACTTGGCAAGTGCCAAAGAAATGAGGTCTGAGATACTTTGGCCGATCAGCTCAGGTACTCCAAAAATTGAACTTCAGTAGCGTTTGGACCCCCGAAGACGCTGGATTTGGAGCCCCCAAAATTTGGCTTCCCCAAGCTAAGGGCTGCCTCAAAGCCCATGTCCCGAAGAAACCCTAGCTGCTCTGAACTCCGTTCTGGGAGACAAACCTTTGAGCTGGGAAGGAAGGTAAAAGCCGAAAGATGGGGCCGTAAAAGTGAGCATCTCAGCTACTCACTCTTTTCTTGGTGGCTCCCAGCCATCCGGTTCCTTAGCCCCTTCTAGCGTTTTTAGTGTTTAGTGGTAGTTTTTTTTGACTCACTAGAAGTTAGTCACTTTGAGCGGGGGATCAGAAAATGGGCAGCCCAGCTTTTTGGCCCCCAGCTGAAAGCTACGGCGTTGCCCCAATAGCTCCAGAGTGGAATGGAGCGGGTCCAAGGGAAGGTTCCGGAGGGTTCCGGAGCTGTTGGGCATGCCACGTTGATAGTCATTGGAACCACCTTGTGCAGGGCTAACATGTATGAAGCAGGTGCCAGTTTGCACAGGATTCGACTTGTTTTTTGCAGAAGAATTTCATAAATTTTCTAGTTCGCCAGAAAAGGAGATACCTGGTCATGTTGTGTTAAGGGACCCCCTATTGGGTGTGGCTCAAAATTAAAGAGCCAGGGTTACGCAGGAATCAGTCTTTGGTTCCACTTACCAAGGCCTACCTGCCATTTTGGTACATTGCTTTGAGCCACCCTATGAACAATCCAACTGGTGGTGTCCCTTTAAGGGAATCCCAACGGTTTATTCCCAATTTACCAACGGTTATTCCCTACTGAGCTTCTCGTTCTTTCTCTCTTTCTGGCTTCTGGATCCCGCGCCTGGTGAGCCTGTTGAACTGGGGCCTTTCTTCCTGAGCAAAATAAGGTCATTCCATGTCTCATTCCCTGCCTATCGGACCAGCAAGGACACCCGGGTTTGAAGCCGCTCGTTGGCAGGCCTCGACTTGGGCGTTGGCGGCGCGCCCCAGCAACAAAAATCCATGTGAGCACCTGGATCGATCCATGGCACCCACATGATTTCTGTCACCTCTCCCGCGCAACAAAAGAAGTGCCTGGTGGAAGATACCACCGGAAATTCGATAGGAAACCGCCTGATCTTGGCGGGTATTTGGCCAACTTCCTGTAGAATTTATCCTGTAAGCTGGTTTCTGGGAGCCTCTGGACATGATTTAAGAAGGACTCCTTGGAGGCACTGTACTGGCATGCGGGGGACTTTTTTTGGTACCGGTTACACCTGATTCATAACACTCCCCCTGGATGAAAGACGGACCGTTTTTCCAACCGGCTGCCAGCCAATACTTTAAAAGGGTCCACAAGATTTGGCCACAAAGCAACATGTTTGGGCACCCACCATGCCCCCAAAGACGGCACTTTGCGACTGCACGCATTTTTGAATTACAAGAGCTATTGCGAATACGTCTGCCAATACTATTTCCAAATTCCCTCATAGTTTTCAAAAAACGAAAAAGAAGATAGCCAACCGGAAAACCAGGTTTCTTATTACATGCTTGTTTACACAATCTAAGGTTGGACATGCTCATAAGGGCTACCCCCTTCAGTCCCCCCTAATATTACAAAACCCTGATCAATCCTGACACTCTTCAGCACGGTAAGACACATGTCATTCCTATTGCTGTCCTCTTCGAGCTGCCCAGAGGGACCTTTCAAGATCCGGAAATTGAGGGGAAATGATTAGTCCTGGATGCAATCAGGGGCAAGCAATAGAAACATCTTTCCCTTGGCCTCTCGTCTACTCAGGTCAGTTCATGTGAAATGTGTCGCGGGCACGGCTTTTGCAGAACTGGAGCCCATTTCGGGGCTTGACTCTTGGCTTTACCTTCGCGGGCCCCCAAAATGGGAGCATTCGTGTTGGCCTTTGCCACTGGTGACGGAAGGTGCTCTTGCCAAGTGTTTTCGCGCTCGGAAAGTGAGGTTGGGTTGTCTCAATATCAACTGACGTACTCAGCTTAGAGGCCGTCTGGTGTTGGTTTGGGGACACAGGGGCACCACCCAAAGTAGCTACGCCGGCAAGTTCTTGGAGGGCAACAAGCTCCTGGAGGGCAAGCTGGAGGGCAAGCCTGGCAACTTCAAGGGCGACAACCAGGGGCTCATAGAGGGCAACACCGACACATCATCACAGTCCCTGATGAAGTTCCGGAAGGCCCTCTGTCCCCGAAAAATCACAGAATCATGGAGAATGCAGGTTCCGCAGGCAGAGCCGGGTAAAGGACAAAGCATATTGCCCGTGAAAGGGGGTAACTGTGTAGACTGGTGATGCAGGTCGGTCTTTTTCTCCGTCTTTGTGCGGAAAGCATGATGGAACATGCATGTGTTTGCTATTGGCCACGGGCACTTCATTGCCAACCCCAGACCTGTAGTGCCCTCGTTTTTCTCCTCACGGGGGTTCCGACTTAAACAACTCACCCCCGAAAAACAAAGGGTGCCTTAGCAGTGGAAATTTGCTGCCTACATAGTTCTTTCTGGCACTTTAAGAAGCTGTTAGTCCATTCTTATAATGTTGACCCCATATCAATCAACCCCAGTTTATGAATAGGGTGTGTTCCCCTCCAAAGGCTGTGAATTCCCACTAAAACCAGGGAACAGCAGCCCCTATGAATAACCAGGGGTTGATCAAAAAAAAGGGGTCAACATTTGTGGGTTGCAACCATCTAGCTGGTAGACCATCGACCATCTGAGTGAGGTCCACAGGTCGCCTCGCGCTTCTGTCAACCGACCTCTTTCTGAGGAGTGGCAACTGCGGACCTTGCTCGGGGACGCTGAGGTGGGGAAACGACAAACGGGAAATTTACCATAGCCAAAAACATAACGTGGAAGTGCACAACCGCCCCCTTTCCAAGAGGAAAGTCGTCTTTCTCAGGGGTTTGTGCACTTCCATGTTAGTCGGGAGGGTAGCGACAATCCGACTCCTCCAAACGATGTTGAGTTTTAGTAAGTAGACTGAATATGGGTGTCTTTATTTGAGGTTGGAGCCACCCCAAAGTAGTGATTTCCGGCTTGGTGTCCCTTTAAAACCACAACAAAGGCGGGACATTCGAAAAAGCGACCTACCCATACGATATGAAAGATCATCTAAAGCTGATGTTCTGTGCCAGGTGCGGGCCCTGATTTGTTAGGCTCAAATGGCGGGGAGCTCCATTTTGACACCGCCAAGGTAGGGCAACTGAGTTCCAGAGGGTGTCAAGGTTACTCCCAAGGGCAACTCTGCATTTTGAGAATTCCCGGCTCCAAGAAGGGCAACTGGAAATTTATTTTTTTCCCAGGTCAAGCAGTGGAAAAGCTGTCGGTTGATCGAACATTGGAGAGCGAATAGAATCAGTCAGCGCATGGAGCCCTTGTGGCCCCACCCACTTCCTGGCTGGATCTCTCCGGAAATGTGGGGGGGGAACTCGATGCAGAGAAAGCCTCCTATGCAAGGCTTCTACACCAGGGTTGACGCAAAACCAGCAGAAACCCAAACCTAGGTACACGAAACGGTACCCCAAACCTTCCTGCGGGTTGTTGCATTTATCATCCCAAGGCGCTCGATATCTTTTGGGTCCAATCCACTACCATGAACTGGCTTGGGCCATTGTCCTCTCAATATGGGGATTGGGTTCCATGTTGGTGGGAGAGGGTATCTACTTCCCTCAGATTCACATGGACTCCGACAACACCAACATTTTGGATGAGTTTTCTTGGGCGCTTAGCCACCTTAGCCTTGAAAGCATTTCTTGGTAAGTCTCCTCCAAAGGGCCTCCCTGTTTGTTTACTAGATCCCTCAGTAGTGCCCTTTTGCCCCTTTTTTGGGGGCCGAAGCACGAAACGGAGAAGACCGAGCCATCCGTTGGACATCCGTGAGTTCACGGACATCGGGTGGCCTACATGTGTCTTTTGTTGGGATTCGGACCCCCCAAATTGAGAGGGTGTCCTTGTGGTTTCCCATTAAAACCGTCTAAAACCGTCACTACAAAGGGGGTACCCGCAAAAAAGAAAAAAGCCCACATGACACTGAATTTAAGACGATCTCCAAAGTGGTGGACGGTTGAGGCTCGCAGGGTCACCTTCCATTTGCCTAGGAATATGTGTTTATTATTATTATTATTAATTTATTATTATTATTATTGTTATTATTATTATTAGTAGTAGTATTCTTATTATTATTATTATTAGTATTATTATTAGTATTACTATTAGTAGTATGATTATTATGATTTACTACTTATGTTTATAGTATTATTATTGTTATTATTATCATTATCATTATTATTATTGTTATGATTATTGTTGTTATTGTTATTATTATTATTATCAGTATTATTATTATGAATTACTATTATTATTATGATTATTAGTATTATTATTGTTGTTGTTGTTGTTATTATTTATTATCATTATGTTTATTATTATTGTTTATTAGTATTATTATTGTTGTTGTTGTTGTTGTTGTTATTGTTATTGTTATTATTATTATCATTATTATTATTATTAACTATTACTATTATTATTGTTGTTGTTGTTGTTGTTGTTGTTGTTGTTGTTGTTGTTGTTGTTGTTGTTGTTGTTGTTGTTGTTATTATTTATTTTCATTATGTTTATTGTTATTGTTTATTAGTATTATTGTTGTTGTTATTGTTATTGTTATTATTACCAGTATCACTAGTATTATTGTTTTCCCTTGTTGGTTTTGAAGGAATTTATCACTACTGGAAATGTTTTTTTCCAGGGGTCTTCACCAAATGGAAGTCACCCATGTTGGAACCGCACGTTGTGGCTGAAACGGGCGCCGCGTTCGACACATTTCTGCCAGCCTGACCCAGCCACTGGCGACGAGGTGGGCCTGTGGCTTTGGGAGCGAAGGGTTCTCTATAGCCACACTCACCAAAATAGAAATACCTTTGGTGCATTTTGCCAAGGGATGTTAGGAGAATTTGGGTTTTTCCGAATTAAGCCAAAATACTGTTAACCCCGGATTAAGCAGAACCCCTGGTTGATTTTGATTGGGGGGTGTCCAATTTCTTTTAGTGGTTGGATTCAGACCACTTTTGGAGGTAGTAGGAAATACATATACAAGCCCACCCAAAATGGAAACATATAGGGAGCCCCGTGTTCCCCCCCGTCCCCCCAACACATCTGCGCCTCCCCCCCCCAAAAAAAAACAACTCCCCCGAGCAACATAAGCCAGGGATTTGTTCACTCTGGGCTCCCGGAATGAGGACCAAACGATGAGAAATGTTCATTGTCCGCAAGCCGGGGACATAAGCAAGCCGCCAGTAAAGAACCTTTCTCATGGGTGAGCTTGGTATAGTCGACCCAAAGTCAACCAGCAGCTAACTGACTAGTATAATCCACATTCAACCTGCGTTATCCGAAGCAAAGAAACACAAACATGTTCCTGACTTTTTTGTTCAACCCCCCCCCTCCTTTCCTCCCCGGCCCTTCTGATGCTCGCAAGCCGAGGGTCTGCATGTGTGTTTCTTTCTTGTATTTGTTTGTGTGGTTTTCTCCAGGTTGTTGGCCCTTTGCGTGAAATCCAGCAAAACCACGAGAAAACTTAACAAGTAGGCTCAAGGGGGTTGGGGTCTGCAATCTTGTTTTTTGTGTTTCTTCTTTTCGTTTGGCTTTCAGCCCAAAGTGCCAAAACCCCTTGCGAAAACCACAAAGAGAGATCCCGTGGCTGATTGGGCACATGGGTTTTGATTTTGCCCCGGATGTAGAAGGTTGAAGTAGCTGCCATAGTTTAGCAGCTGGTTTTGGTTTCCTGCAACATAAAAGGTTTCAATGTAGAGCTCTTTATGTGTCACAGATCCAATCTTCCTAGCGACCTAGCAAATGTCTACTGCAATTCTATTACATATGTAGCATATTCCCTAGTGTATTGCAACGGGCTCCTTCGATATGCCTGACATTCCTCTAGAATAGGTAGGAAACTCCTATCACGTAATCTAGCAAATACCTAATCCAGACCTATTTGAGTTCCTAGAGCGCATTTGGTATGTGGCTATTGCGTGTGTCCTATACCCCAACATGTTTAAAGTATATATAATATCTAGCACATGTTATAGTTGTGGCACATGTTTAGCATACCCCTAGAGTCGAGCAATAGGTTCCCAGCACATGCCCATCATTTGCCTAGCATATTTAACATGCCCTAGTGCACACCTACTACCTAGTATATGTCTATATAGCGTACACCTACTTTAATTTGAAGCAAGTACCTGACAAACATAATATGCTTCACGAAATTTTCGTGTTCACCGACTTAGCATGTGTTGGTTATATGTCTGGCATGTACTTGTTCTAAATGTCTAGCAGCTTTCGAAGTGCCCAGGAACTATCCAGCCACTTCTGCTATTACACGGTGACGTCTTGTGTCTGCTTTCAAGCAGTGCTAAGCAACCACGATACTATACTTGAAAGTACCTGAAAGGCATTTTACTTGAGAACGCAGCCCCCCTCCCCCCAAGGCGTTCCGGCCTCTATGTATAGACATACATATATATGTATACGTATACATGTATAAACACCTCTGCGCAGTTGCAGCGCCATCACCGCGGGCTGCCCGAGCTATGGATGCTGGGCGCTCAGAGGTGTGGCACTGGGACGTCTTCTAACGTTGGACCCTCTTTAACACCCCCCTGGGCAGTGGAATGAAGGGGGGGACCCTCTTTAGGGAAAATCCTGGGGGTGGGACAGTACTTCAGCAAGTATTGGGGATTTCACCTTGCAGAATCTGTTTGATTGGTTGGGGGTTCCTAATTTATACTGAGCGCCCGCGTGCGCATGAAATCCTATGGGCTCTAGGAGTTTGATCGGCAACTGGCTGGCTTGAGGCAAGCGAGCCAATGGCATAAGCGCCAGGTGCAACGTAGCTCTTTGGCTTTTCCGAGGATCGGAAGCTCAAGTTCCAATGTCCAAGTCTATCTGCTTTGTGCACAGCAGTGAGATTCGACAGGTTGGAGTTTCTTGACTTGCCTTGGGCAGATCAAGTCCGGCTCTTGAGCGATCAAGATGCATTGACCTGATTGGAACATAGCCCGAGACGTAGTTCGTTGTCCAGCGCAATGATCACGATCGGATGTGCCCGTGCGGGCGTGAAAATCACGAAGCCCGGCTTTCTCTTTTCGGAATTGGAAGCAAACCAAAGGCAGCCGCTTGCTTTTTCAACTTGCCAGGTGTTCGTGTATCCAACGCGGGGGGATACATGTGCCATTGGTCACAACACCGGTTTACTTGGTTAGGATGGTCATCACCCTCTTAGGGGTTGCAGAACCCTTGTACAGGTCGGATAGCTGGAAAGGCAGGGGCCTCCTCCCCATTTTCAATCTGAACTTGTAGCACAACAATTGACAATCATGTCTTTAAGTGTGACAACTTGCTGCAGCACGTAGCAAAAGCTCCTTGGTTCGTCCGATTAGCTCTTGCTGATACAAACGACAACCAGGAGCACTCAGGCTCAATGACCGCCATCAGGATCAGGGGTCAGTGGTTCCCATGTCCAGCATATTGAAACCCTCCCTAGTGTGCACATTGTTTGTTTGTTCTAAGTTCGTCTGCACGTCTCTGGCAATCGAGCCGACAACCCCACAGATTTCGAGCACCGTCTTGGGCTGGTTTCCTTTCGTCGGCCCTGAGTCCCCGTGCTTTCAATTGACACAAATGTTGGGGAGTGATTAATAAAGGAGCCCCCCCTCCCCCCCCCCCCTCAAACGAATTGGGGGGGGTCAATAGCAAGAACCCCCAAAAACAAAATGGGGGTCAGACTGGGACCTGCCTGAGTAGTTTTCCAGTAAGTATTGATTAGAATTGGTTTAGTATTGGTTTAGTATTCCTTTGAGCTGGCTCACTACAGTTTAGAATTGGTTTAGTATTGGTTCTTCTTCTTGGCAGGCTGCCCTGGCCATTTGTTTCCCTACCCTTAAACAAACTGCATTATTGCCTTCCTGGGGGTTCCGTGTGCCACCCCCTTGAAAATTTGTCAGGGAAGGGATTGATAAGGAATTTGGGGTTTGGGACAGGAAGCAATCCAGAAATTCTGGACATTTCTGGCTGGACTCCATCGTTTCAACCCTCAAAAATAGTCCATGCTTGGAAGGGGACATATTTTCGGGATTTCGGGCAGATTTGTTTTCTGTAATACCTACCCTTTTTGCTTTTCAGGAGAGTGACTAATTTTGAGATTGTTTTTCTGTATTATCTAACATTATAGGCAACCAGATGCACTTCATGTGTTGGTACATGATGGTTCTCCCATTGCAAGCACTGGGTAAACGCTTTCACCAGTATCTTGATGTATTGTGTGTGTGTGTGTGTGCGTGTTTCATTATTTGTATGTGTTGTTTGTTGTGTGTGTGTGTGTCTTTGCTTGTTTGTTTGTTTGTTTGTTTGTTTTGTTTTGTTTGTTTGTTTGTTTTGTTTTGTTTGTTTGTTTGTTTGTTTGTTTGTTCGTTCGTTTGTTTGTATGTTTGTTTGTTCGTTTGTATGTTTGTATGTTTGTATGTTTGTATGTTTGTATGTTTGTATGTTTGTATGTTTGTATGTCTGTTTGTTTGTTTGCTTGCTTGCTTGCTTGCTTGTTTGTTTGGTTGGTTGGTTGGTTGGTTGGTTGGTTGGTTGTGTGTTTGTGTTTTTGTTTGCTTGCTTAATAGCCATCTCGAAAACAGATTTGGTTTACTCCCGCGGAGGGTCACGGAGGTTCCTTCAACATGGCCAGGTTTCTGGATTCTCCGTGCAGCTGTCTTGGAGTGTGGTGTCGCCAAGCGTTGCTAAGGACATCTGCCATCGGGCTGGGTATGAGGACAGGAAAGAGATGCGGCATTTGTTGGGCGATGGGTCTGACATCACGCGGACATGGCCCAATCAGCAGAACTTGCCATGCCATTCAATGGGGAAGACCCTCAAAACGCACGTGGTCGTGTCATCACCATGATTTGGGAGGTGTGGTGGACATTTCTCGGAAATCGGCATGGGGGTGGGTTTGTCCTGTTGGTGCAAACATACACGTATTGCCCAAAGGCGTACCGGGCTGTCAGGCGAGTGTCTGATTTGTGCATTGTATTTTTCAAAGCATCAGAACTGCATGGAATGCATCCAGAGCCGCGCAAGGAATCCGGAGCCGTCGAACACCGAGGCGGGAGCCGAAGGATCTTGGGGCCTTGTGGAGCAGGTGTCCCTTTCAAATCAGCCAAGATGAAGGTGCCCCCTTTGCCCATGGAAAAATCATTTTGCAGAAATGAGGCTTGGTAGCTGTTACCTTTTTTAGAGCTTAGCAGAGTACGTCTCCAGCAGATCCTAGAAGATTTTGGCAGTAGATGCTTGGACGATCAGACGCAGATGCTGGCACACAGGGATGCAAATAATGGGGTTGCTGCTCATGGTTTGGAATTATATTTTCCCCACAGAATGGTGTCCAATCCATTTGGAACACTGGTAGCAGTGAGAGACAACTCGCCCACTGCAGAAGACATAGATCCATGGCCTAATTGACAGCAGCTTGTGATGAACACAAAAAAAAAAACGTATAATTCGGGACACATTTTGTAGATGTGGTTTTCTCCAAGCAACCTCATTTTGTATTGACTCGAGACTCCATCCAATCCAATCTTTATAGTACAGAATGGCTGTTCCAACCCCACCCCGGAAATGTGAGTGTTTAAACACTGAGTTGTCCAACGCGAATCGACCTAACCTTCTGGGTGTCCTTTTAGTATTTTTTAGTCAGAGTCGCAAAAGAAGAGTCAATTCGGACCAAGATGTGAGCGTTGATCAAAAGGTCCTCTGCATGGGATGACCATTGGGGCAAACCACTATGACATTTCCCATTTCGTCCCATGGTCAAAACTGGGGGCCGAAGCCAAACGGAGTATTGTTCTCCACCCCCACATGGCCAACCCGCTGAAGTCATTCGGATTTTGTCGTCTAGCTGCCGGTGCAAGGAGCTCTTTGCCTTGACAACTTGACCATGATGGAAATCGAAACCACTAAAAAGCTGATATTTCCTACTTCCCACAGGAGGAAAGTTACCCATGGTCAAAACAAAATCAATTGGAAGGCTAACCCCAGTTTTGATCTCCACCCCCACATGGCCATTCAGATTTTGTCGTCTAGCTGCCGGTGCTAGGAATATTGATCAACCCCCACATCTAACCCCAGGGCGCCCCAGCTAGGCGGATCGCCTCCAGCACGAAGCCAGAAACCTACTCCGCGAGGCCCAAAAAACGCCGGCGTTTCGGCGCGCGTTTGGTTGGCGGGTAGTTGGGAAACCCAAAACGCTGTTCTGGGTTCTCTAATTGGGACCCATGACAAGATGTTGCCTTTTTTGCGTTTGTCTTTTCTTTCTTTTTCAGCGAAGGCAAGAGTAGACACCCCATGTTGACGGTCCTGTTAGTGGGCTGCAAAATATGAACAGTTCTACGTGTTGATTTTCCCGATTCTGTGCAAGCGTTATTTTTTTCAAGAACCAGCTGCTTTCCCGAGGTTTTTGTTAAAAAGAAGGATTCCTGAAAAGAATGGGAGAAGCTCCCCTAGTTGGTGTTAACCAGGGTTTGAACGGGGAAGGGGGGGAGACTCGTCTTAATAACCCTGGATCAGGGCTGCCAGATCTTGGTTCAAAGAGGTTCATCAACTGGAAAAGGACTAGCATTTGACAAGGAAAACAAGAAACACGGCAAGTAGCCGGATCAGGTCACAGGTATGGACATTGTTTCTATTTGGTTTTTGGATGGGCGGTACTGGTAAACACTTTGGTTCTTTGCGACCGGAGAGGATCCGCGCCCAACACGGTTTTGGAGTCATTTAAAAGCAAGCCCTCAAGCCCAACAGGGGATACCCTAAAGGTACAACCCCGCGAGTTGCTTCTTGCTGTGTTCATGCCGTGGGCTTGTAGGTCCACTGTCCACTGATGCTTGTGGGCCAAAAGTTCAACACTTCAAGCGACCCTACCCTCCCCACTATCGTGGAACTTTAATCCGGAGGCCTTGGAAGACAATATTCCTGAAGCGAATTGACTGCTGACGTTTGGATTTACCATGTTCTACCATATAGTCATGGTCCCAAAAGGTGATCACCAATTCCTGACACCTTTGGCGGGAACCCTCAAGGTGTGCCCAATGGAAGTCTTTGAATCGCAGGCGGGCCTGCAAATTGACACCAAGGAGCCGGATAGAGGAAGCGAGCGACCATCATGTCTTGAGGCTGCAGAACCGAGTGACTTCGTGGTCTATCGAATCAATCACCCCTTTAAGCGACAAGAAACAACAATGACTTCTCTACCATAGGTGTCCTTTTTGGTTGTTTTGCTAGGAAAACAAATGGCCCTGTTTTTTTTTTTACCTGGTGGTTTTTTCTCATCTACCAGGGAAACCCATCTATTTCCCCTAAAAGGACACCAATAACTTCTCTACGGGAAGAATCCCATGGGGAAATGAATGCTTCCTGCATTGGCTGAATTGGCCGACGGATCAGATCACTGCTTAGGCGGGTATTCAATCAGTGGTTCAGCTATCATGCGGGTGGGTGGGTGGGGTTGGGTTGGGTGGGGTGGGGTGGGGGGTGGGGTGGGTGGGGATGGGGTGGGTGGGTGGGGTGGTGGGGTGGGGTGGGTGGGGAGGATCCCGCACCAAAAAGTGCGCGCAGTGGTCTCTCCTTGGCGAATGGGCCTCAAAATCCCTGGGCTTCCTTCCAGCTGTTCGCTCTCCGCGTGAGCGATGGAACGTGGACGGGTACAAGGTTTGTCCGCAATCACTTGAGCAAGACGTTGGGCGCAGTTGAGTGACAAACCTATCCTTTATCCCAATGTAAGTAGTTTGGATCTGGATGCCTATTTTGGACATCATAAGGACTTTCCCTCGATCCATCTGGGACTGTTTGGCAGCTTCCATGTTTCCCAGGAATAGGTTGAGGTCAGAAAGCTTGTGTTGGAGAAGGCTCCCAGCGCTCCAAGGCTTGCAAAAGCAAAGGTTCAGCTGACAGCTTTTCCTGTGGCTGCCCATGTCCGGTTCAAAAGATGAGCATGTTTTTGCAATGGCAACAGATTTGCATGTGAGAAAGGTGGACACTGGGAAACATGCGACCACATCTTTGCAGAATATATGGCAACAGCTTGAAGCCCTGGCTCGGTGCACGAGTCCAAATGCATGTCCGGCCATCTTAGTCGATGTTGAAAGGTTGACTAGGTCCCCAGCTAGGTTCCCTTTCTCTCAGGGCCCCCCTACTCAAATACACCACAGCAACAAAAGATCGGGTACCCTTATTCTACCCTCTCTACTGGAGGACCTAATTGAGACGTTTACAAAATGCTCAAGGCAAAGCTGGCCTTGTGCTTTATCTTCGCCAGCCAAAAGGCGGCTCGCTCCGCAGGAGGATGATGCAACTCCTGGATCACGGCTTACCAAGGCAGAAATCGAAGGGGAAGCGCCAGGTGGTGCAACCAGTACCCGTTGTTCCCTTGGTTTTGTGCGGAGTTCTTTTGAAGCATCAACCCTTTGCGGTAGGCTTTGCCGGTGTTCTTGGGTCGCTTTAATAGTCCCCCGCCCCCCCCGCCTCCCCCCCTGAACAGTGCCACCAGTCGCGAGGGTTCTCTTTGTGGGAAAGCTGGGGGTCTGGGTGGGACTTTGGACTTGCTGGTCCTTACTTTAGTATGGCCAATTGAATCTAAGACTTACTCTCAGATTCCCAGTACTTAGTTGCGAAGAGCTTAGAATGAACCACCCTTTGAAAGCGGTTAAAGTTTCGATCTGGGAACTTCTCCAAACAAGTTGATCATGAAAGCGAACCACGAAACAGAGAGATTGAGCAGAATCAGGGCCCCTTGTGGGCAACCCCCTGTGCTGTTTGGCCTTACTTGCTTATAAAGACGGTATCTTAAATTTGATGGTTTGGGGACCACTTCCAAGAAAGGAATTCCTCATGATTGCCCAGATTTGGTTGCCTGATTGTTTTTGCTTGTGTTTTTTGTTCGGCAAACCAGTCACAGGAAGGGGCACTTGTTCCCTCGCTTTTGGAAGGAAGGTTGTCCTTTGAATCGGCCATCAACCAACAAAAGCGGATATCCCTTTTTCCGATGGGGAAGAGGTTTCTTGCTGCCATGGGCGGAAATCAGAGTTTGATTCGTTGGATCCTCATGGGGCTGGCGGCTGGTGGGGGGACTCTGCAGACAATCCAATCTGGGGCAGCTAGCTGCCTGTGGGTTGTACCCTAAGGCAAGTTCAACACGATGGTCAAGGCAAGGCCTTCAAGATGAGACAATTGTTCGGTCTCGAAAAGCCAAAGCTTCGCACATTCTTGAGATGAGCCCGTGGCGCACACAGACCCAAACCTGGCTTACAACAAGTAAAACAACCATGTATCGCCGTACAGGACGGTCCCTTATCCCTTACTTGCGATATTTGGGAATCAGGGGTCCCAAGACGGCCCCGGCAATTGCATCCATTGCCATACCGAGCTCATCTGTTGCGCCGTTCAAAGTGAGCTCGCCCGGGGATCTCTGCCGTGTCTCCTGAGCTTGCCCAGTCAGGTTCAGTCGGGCCATTGATACCCCTGAGTGTGTCTTTTATTTTGAGGCTCGGCTGTTTAGGGGTTGGTTCAAAGGAGAACCAACCGGAAACCATCCATGTTGGGGGTACCGCTTTGAGACAAACCCATCTTGACAGGGGAATGTGTCAAAATTGTGAGCCACCTGCCCTGTGTTTCCCGTAGTGTCCAGCCAGTGGTTTCCCAATTTCTGCTGCCGTCGGCCACTAAAAATTCTGGGTCTGAGTGACACCCCTAGTCACACACTTTGTCCCCTTGGTTTGGAGGGGTTATCCTGTTTCCTTAAACGTACTTGCTTAAATGCTCTGGAACGAATCGCCCAGCAGGTACCCATGGCCATAAGTCACGAAACCCATGGTTGTAAGATCTCGGTTATATAATAACTGTGGTTCGTATCCATTTGGCTGTGGGTAAAAATCCTGTACCCCTGGTGAACATCAAATAGGTGGCAAATGGATGCTCATCCACCCCAGAATGGAGCCATAGGTTTTGCCCCATGGCCATTTGGCTGTTTCCAAAAAATAGGGGCCCCTAGAACAGGCTGGATTCCTTTGTGTTTCCCTCGGTTTGGGCGCATGGGATTCCTCCCGCGTCCGCTTCAGGCTCCCTCTGACACGGTCACCTCGCAGGCATGGTGTCTCCAGTCCCCCTTATGTGGCTGCTTTCCTCCAAAGGCCTCAGGCAGCCAGGGTCGAAAAGAAGGGGCCAATGGGAAGAGGGGAAGAGGGGGGGTTGAATCTTGGTTTCACAGCACAATGCTCAAATCAAGCACCTGCATTGACGGAACACATCTCCATGTGGTGCCATAGTCCGAAGATATATGTGCTTGTGCGTTACTAGGGATGGTGATGAACCAACATGAATTTTCACCATGGCTCAATCAGTGCTGGTCTCGCAATATTCTGCACAAAGGATTCTGCCCAACACGTTGACGTCATTTCCGTCAGAGAGCCGCCGGAGAGCAGCACATAGGGCGCCCATAGTTTGTGTCTTTGCTTGCAAGCTTTTCTGCAAGCCCCAGGACTCAACACTTGGCTTCCTCCGACTTGCAAGGGAGATTGGGATGTACAACTGCCCGAAAATATGGAATATGTATTGATGACACATGCTCAAGATGCTCTTGGGGGCAGTGCTTTGAAAGTAGTGGAAAACATTTTGGAGACTATGGTAAGTTCTTGCTACGCCAATGAGGCTTACCATGGTGTTCATGCCCTCACTGAAGCATTATGAGGTTTGGCCAAAGTTGTACAATAATCTACGCTGCATGTGGCAAGGACATGGGGGACTCTCTAAGTTTCCCACAAAACAAGGGAAGTCTCCAATTTCCCCGCGTCTATATGAGGGTACGGAAATTTTGTTCGCACATGCGGGGTCAGCCTATTGAGATTAAGATTCCAACGGATGTTGTGGTTGGGATTTGCAGCCAATGATTTCCGGGGTAAATCCTTGACCTCCGAACTGCCGGACCCCTCCAAAGGGTGGACACCCCAGCCTAAACCAAGCCATGTGGAGGGGGGGAGGGGGGAATGTGTTTTTAGACCCCCCAAAATGGGTTTCGATGGTGGTTTGGTTTTCTCTGAACCGCAAAAGCGGGGGGAGGGGGAAGGCCAGGCACTCAAGCCACTGCCGTCAGGAAGAGGTGAGCTATAGAGAAGTCTTGGACACTCCCTCGCCGGAAGTGCAGGCGGCGCAGGCCAGCGAATCGCGCGGATGCTGGCCACCTTGGAGTGGATGGAAAGGGAAACCGAAGGAAAATTGTGGTACCCCCCTTACAACTAACATAGCACCAGACATGGGGTCCCTTGAAGAGGAAACCAATCTTCCAGGTAATTACCCTCCCAGAGGTGCCATGTTAGTGGAAGGGAGGGTAGCCCGTTTCCCTAACATCATGGCTAAACTTGGCTAGAAAAGATGAAAGTGTTGATGAACCTTTGAGCAGAGGAGTTTCCCAAACGCAGGGACTTATGAGGCTGATTGGGCCTGGAGAATGGTTGGTTTCCTGACTTGTTTCCTGTTGAACCCATCCAAGAAGGCCTCAAGGCCGCCCCCCCAAGCCATAGGTTTGGACAGGGGCTTGGGATATACAGCCACAAGCCACAAAGGGGTACAATCATCGATATCCCGTTTTCCGCTGGGTGGGCTTAGTGGAAACCATCTTGGAATCCTGGCAGGTCAGCGACGCAAGTTTGGGGCGCTGTCCAGGCGTGAGGGTTGGTTTTGTCGAACGACCGGAACTTGTCGTTGACTTGCTGGGTGTGTCTTTCTGGGAAAACGGGACTGGGAGAGACGCGTCAGGTGGTTTTAAAGGCGAACCAAACTTGGCGGACCCCCGTCATACGCGACTTTTAGATCTTAAGAGTGAAGTGCAATTCAGGCAGATTCCACGCTTTCAGCTTTAGCGTATCCACTGAAAGGAGATGCCACATATTTCTAGGGGTACCTTTCCCATTCTTTCTAGGGATCCTTCTTTCCAAGAATCCTCACTAAACCCAGGGAAAACGGCCGGTTTTCGAAAAGAACGATGGTTGAAAAGAATGGTTGGAATCACACATATGAATGTTTGCGTTCAACATCCCTGCTACCCCCTAGAATATTGTGTTTTGAACGTGGTGAGGGGTACCCCGCTACCCTGCTCCCCCTTCCCCCCGTGTCCACTCCACGCCACGACGCCAGGGCTGGACGCCCTCCTGCGCGCCGCCCAGGAGGATCTGCTGGAGGCCGCCGTGGAGGCGGTGCCTAAACAGCGACCGGAGGAAGCAAACCGAGCCAAGCCAGCCCGAGCCAACCAAGCAACCAAGCAAACTAAGGAAGGAAGGAAGGAAGGAAGGAAGGAAGGAAGGAAGGAAGGAAGGAAGGAAGGAAGGAAGGAGGGGAGGGAGGGAGGGAGGGAGGGAGGGAGGGAGGGAGGGAGGAAGGAAGGAAGGAAGGAAGGAAGGAAGCACCAGCAGCAGTGACAAGAGAAGTGAACGAGTTTTTTGACAGGTGTGCTTTTCACATGCAAGGAACTGTTGGCGTTGATCAAGGGAAACTCTGCGGGTGTTTTGAAGCTGCATGCACGCAAGAAAATAAGATGTGCGCTGGTATCTATGCAGTCTATATACAGAGGACCAGCGCAAATGTTCATATCCGCCGATCACGGAAACCTGGGCCCGAGGCGTTTCATTCTGGGGAGCCACTCCCCCTGGTTTCCGTTTCCTCCCCACTCCTCGCCAATCCCACTCTGCCACTGTTGCCAGGCCGCTCGGCGAGGAGCAGAAGGGCGTTGAACAGATTCGAGACGTTTCTGGCTTGGGCAAATTCGGCGTGAGCGCGGTTGTGGACACTGGATCCACTGCGGCATCCTCAAAACTGCCTTCCTTGCATGGTGGTTTAACCAGAAACCACCCCCAAATGAGTTTTGAGGACCCCACAAAATGTTGACACTCAGGACCCGGGTGCAGGCGCGTCTCTAATGTGCGGGAACTCCAGCCATTTTCGAGTTGCCTCACAACAGTCTCCAAACAAATTGTTGCTGAAGATGAAGAAGGGGGACATTTTGTTTGTTGCGAGAGGGTGTCTCACTGTGAGATGAGCTCACTCGTGATCAGTTCTCGAGTGAATTTCTGCACGTCTGCTCGCCCAGCTGATTGGAGGGGGCCCATTTCAGTCTCTATGGCCCAACGTCAACCGGGTCAGTTTTCTTGCTGGGCCTCCAAAGCTTTACATGGCTGTGGGTCAAACATGTGGGCCCAAAATGGCTTGCCCTGGTACATGGGAATAAGGACCTTCAAGCCTGCGGTCCAATTCCTGGTGGTTTACTTACCTCTCAAAAACACAACTTGTCTCAACTTTTTGGGGGTAACATGGGCTATATGTCTGTAAAAGATGAAAACTTCCCCAGGGCTTGGAGTTTTAAGGGGTAAGTTTAATTTTAACCCCCACACCCACATAGCGTATGCCACAGAGTCAGTGAGATTTTTGCTTACCAGGTGCCCTTCGAGCCCCCTGTGATTTTTGTTGGGCACTTGTCGGCCTCCAGGGGTTGGGGCGGCGATTCGACGCCTGGACTTTTTTTCATGGTGAGTCGGTCTCAAGGCCGTGCCCCCCCAAAAAAAGGCCCCTGCAAAAAGAACGCCTCTTTCCGTTGAGCCGAGCGAAGGTCTGAGGACCTCTTTCCCCAGGAAGAGCCCAGTTTGGCATCGCTTTACATGCGGATGAGCTAAATCACACATGGCGAGTTTCCTGAAAAAGAGAGCCAAAGGGGTGGCTCATGATTGAACTTTCGCAGGAGTTTCGCAGGCCCCCGCTTTGGCCCAAACAGTTTTGGTGAGTCCAAACATGAGCCAAACTCTGAGGTCAGGGAATTTCAGGGTTGGCAACAGATGTGTTTTGTGCTCGGGGCGAAGGATTGATCCGAAACCCAAGGGACCTTTAACTTTTCTCAGGCACCATGTTGCCAACGATTGGGAGCCTATCCGGTTGTTTGAAAGTGCCAGAGAGGGGCGTTTTTTTATGAATACCCCAATTGTTTTCGAGTGCTGCGGCTGGAGGCAAATGGCTGTGTTGCATCTATTTGTGACCATTCACCTGAGTGGGTTGAACATCCTCTGCTTGACCAATTGGCCTGGGAGGTATCTTTGTTCGAACAGTTTCATCTGGGGAGCAGAGCTTTCTGGGGAGCGGAGCTCCTGGCGCGTCGGGCAGGAAAAAGTCATGGCTGGAAAGGTCCCTTGGACGACCCACCAACCTGAGTGGTTAGCCCTGCGTGGTTGGGTTCGGTTCATCCCCCGAGTGAGTTGTATGTAAGGTTCGTTTCTTTCGCGCGCGCTGTTTCGCCAAAGATGCGGCTCCCCATGCACTCCAACTCACATGAAACATGGACCACACCCATTGTACGGGGCTTCTCAACCATATTGGTAGCTGGCAATATCATTGGTACCTTTGGCTTGGGGAAGACATGGCAGGACAGCCCAAATTCTGGTGCCCCGACAACCAACATATCCCGTGCCCTGGGGCAATGATCGAATCTTCATACCTGGGCGTCAAGGGCTTGTGACGCGAGGGATCCCTCTAAATCCTCTTGTGCTTCGTGGGTTGCCCGCGAATAGTAGAGCTCCGACTGGGAAGTAACTAGTTGAAGTAACCTGTTCAGAGATTGTAAGTTCGGAGGAACCGCTAAGTTGTTAGTGACCTCTACTAGGTCCCCCAGTAGTGCCCTTTCACCCTTTTTTGGGGGAGGGTTCCCCTACAAAAGTAGACTACAGAAAAAAAGGTACCCTTATACTAACCTCTTTTCTGGAGGACCTAGTCTAGAAAGCCCCCTAGAAATCCCAGCCACTTGCAGCACTTAGCAATTCCTCCCATGCCAGTAGAGCAGGAGAGTCACGGTCATTGACAGAGCCCTGTGAGAGCAAAGCACATAGGCGCACAGCACTGCGTCCAAAACATGCGATTCCATTTGCTGAAAAACATACTTGTCATTTCTCCTGCTGGTCTTAAAGGGAATCTATCACTATTGGACATGTGTTTACTGTTCCAAGGGAACTTAAGCAAAGGGAGGTATGAGTTGTTGCTGCAATCCGTTCACGTGGCTTCTTGACCATGCTTTGCAGCTGGCAATCAAGCTGAGGCACCCTCATTTTTCTTCACCGACTTCCGTGCAGCTGTGATGAAACGGAGTGACTGATCTCACAGGTTTCATGCCGTGCCGCGCCGTCGCAAGCATCCGGACCCTTAAAGCGAGCGCCAGACGCGGCTTCGCACCCTGCGACCGCGACGCGCGCTCGCGCGCGCCAGACGCGCCAGACGCGGCGAAGCGCCATGGGTCCCAGTGCCATGGCTTTGGCGCTCTCGCTGGCGACCTTGGCACAGGCAGAGACGGAGTTCGTGGTGGGCAAGGTGCGGGTGCAGGCCTTGTCCCCGCCCCTCGGCTATGGATGGCACTCCCATGGGGCCCTGGAATTCCATGGGCAGAACAGCCCCAAGGATATTCAAGTCTTCGAGCCTGAAGACCACAGGACGGGTAACGCGCTTCCCTTTTTCTCGGGGAAGCAAAAGCTTAAAGCTGTGCTGAACGAGGCCAAACGTCGGCATAAGTACCTCGAGTATGGAATCCCATCGTAGAGAAAAAAGGCGTGTACAATTGACACAATGATCATCAAAGAGGAACCCTGGCCATTTGGGGGGATCCAACCTCATAGCGACTCGCTTCAACTCAGGCGCCTGCTGCGGATCGAGCCGCAGGGCCCGCGGGGCTTCGAAGATCGCAGCACCTTCACCGTGCAGAGCCGCGAGTTCCAGGCGTCCGATCCGGTCGAATCGCTCGTGGGGTTCCGCTGGAAGTGGAACTGGACGGAAGGCCATTGTTTTGGCAAAAGCTGCGTGGAGGGAAGTTTGGACTCATTTGAAGTTATGGACCAGTTTAGAGGCACAGAAAAAGCATGGGGAGATTTAAGGCCGATCCACTCAAGACGTGAGTTTCAGGGGCTACCAAGAAGACAACCACAACTTGGAATCTAAAGGAAACTCAAAAACAGAGCCGCGATGCTTAGAGAAGCACTCAGATGGTTTCCATCCCACCCAGTGAAAACTGGTAAGGAAAAGCTGCACGGGCGACATTCCCCACATCCGTTGTGTTTATTATTTCTGCCAGTCTCCTATTGTATTTGTTCAATGTAACTTCGTTCAGAGGGTAGCGTTTTGTGCAAATGATTGCAAATGTGTAATTTGCCAGGTTTTGTGCATTCCACAACATCAATGAAACACCGAGTACATAGCGATATCTGTGAGGCTTCCGCATGCAATGGCTTTGTGAAAATCATTTGCTGGGTGCCTTATTAATTGTGATTGCTTTTGAGGTGTTCTCAAAATTACCTTAACCCCCATTTAGAGGGTCTTTCGAGCAACTGGGTCTGAGGAAGTGACGCTCTCGAAACCATTTGGGTCAGCGATAATGCAGTGATAATTCACCAATCCAACCTACCATCTTGTCAACACCGATGGAAGCGGACAGAAGGTGTTTGTCCTCTTTCAAAAGGTTCTAATTCACCTCCATGAATGATGAAAAACGGTCACCCTGTTTCTGGATAGATTACATTGTCGCATTGTAGAGGATTATCAAGGTACTTGTGCGTAGGGACAATCCTTCCCTCTAGCCTGTCTTCCATAGCCATTGGCCACTGTCTAGTTCTTGAGTCGCACATACTGCAAAAATCATGGTTCTTATTGATGGGGGGCGCCTATCTGTGCAAGATGCACCTTGGCATATGCTAACTTGTTTTCGTTGTTGGTCTGAGAAGAAAACCGATACATACACTTGTGATGTCCATGCTTATTATGATTTTGTGCATTCTGCGCATGTGTGTACCTCCTTTCTCGCCCAACGCAACTTAGAACACATGTTTTGTTGCACAGCTAGTTGACCTTGCACAATTAAGATCGGATGACACGTCCATAGGGAACGCGGTTTTAGGCTCCCAAGGTATGAAGACAACTGAGACGGGGAAAAAATATAGTGCAGGTCTGCGAAGGGCGAGGGCACCGTGGATGCTCAGGTTTCACAGGACTGCACATGCCAGGCCCCAGTTACGAGATGTTTCCGCAGGGTGGTTAGCGCAAGGTCACGTCTCCTTTACTTGGGTCTGTGATTGCTGAGGGTACCCCTATCATTTCAGGCTAGTGTAAAGCCAAACCAAAAGGAAAACCGCCATTGAGGGGTCGCCCTACATATTTTTGACCCATACCCATCGCTGCCAAGCGTATCCGCGCCAGCTTTGCATCATGATGCTTGTGCTGCTCAGGGGGTGGCAATGAACAAGACCAGCAGCGGGCAAGGCGTTTGGCTGAACAGCAGCTTCTATAGCGCGCTGCAGCTGCAGATGAGCCACTATCAAAACCTGGCTAGATGAAGGTTAGAAAGGAACAATCCCAACCAGAAATAGCTGCGGCCGCCTTCTTAATTCTTTACGTGGTTCTGGGTAGACCAGTTTAATACCGGGTTTTGATTATGACTCAGATGGCGCTAAGAGCAGAAGTGCCCGCTTTGACTATGAGGGTATGACTCCTTTTTGGGGAGAAAGGAATGATCAGCAAACCGTTTGGGGTACTTAAGGGGTATGTAAATCGAACATGTACACCCTCATAAGTTTTGTTTCGTCAGCGAGGCAAAGGCGTTGGCTGCTTTCGAGGGAGAGGCTCTGCGTGCTTTTGGACTGGCAGGCGGCGCAACGGCTTTCTCTTCATTGTGTCGAAATAGGGGAACCCCCAAAAGGTGGGTGTCCTTTTGCTTTCCCTTTGTTTTCCCTTCAAACCAACCTGAAAAGGGTACACTCAGGACACACACACACACACACACGCGCAGAAACACAGAAACACAGACACACACACACAGACAGACACTACAGATACGCGGACACAGACACACAGACACGCAGAGACCACATTTCACGTGGATGTGAGCAGATGTTAGGATCCTCTAGGTCCACATTTTGAATTAAACGGCTTTAGATCCTGTGGGTTCCATTTAAAAACTGAACACCCCCAGTGTGGGTGTGGCTCGAAATTAAACAGGAGGGGTTACGCAGGTTTTGGTCCATGTTTGCACTTACCAGGGTTCCATTTTGGTACCGGTTGTTTGAGCCACAGCCATGTGGGTTCCTTTCTTCAACACTGAACACCCCAACAAGGCAACTGCGGAGAATGGGCACGCGCCCATTTGTCCAAACCTGAGGTGCTGGTGGACTCCAAGGTCCGCGTCTTCACGCCGCAGGGCCAGATCTTCGACTCCGCCAGCGAGGCGGGCAACCTTTTGCACTGGCCGTCGCCTTTGAAGGCGACCAGCGCCTGGGATTGAAAAAAAGTATCGACTTCTCGACGTCTCCAGGGCTCAAAGTATTGGGACCTTTGGGCCATTGGGTTCAAAATACTTGATTCCCGATTTTTTTCTCCAGAAACCGAAAGTTCGACTGGTCTCGACATCGCGGAACCCCAAAACTGAAAGCTGCATTCGTGGCGAGCTCACCATTTGCGGGGTGGGGGTAAAACCATTTGGTCTCGAAATCTGGGAACCACAAATTGAGACGCACCGCTGTGGAATTCTAAGGAGCTCACCGATTCGGTGGTACAGCGAGTGCTCAGTCCAACTTCAACCTAAGCAGGGCCACAAAGGGGAATGGTGGATCCACCGGAGAGACAGGCAAAGTGCGGGTCTCCCTTCAGAAACAATACAACCACTGCTTGGCACAGCATAGCTTGCGTAGGACATATTTCAACGTAACTGTAACATTGAAGCCACGGGGTTTCTTCACTCGGTATTGGTGCAAACTGCACCATCGATCACCTAGTTTGTTTCGCCTTTGTTGGGGGGTATGTCTACAGAAGACGTTACACTCAAAATGGGTGGTTGTCCTTTGAATTCCCTTTTAAGCCACTCAAGGGTAGCCCCACTCTTCCGGATGATGTTTAAGGGTTTATCAAAAACGATCCTGCAAGCCCGCAACTCCTTTAATATAGTGCGAGATAGATGTGTGCTGGGTCGGATGCGGAGTTCTTCAGCTTTAGAGGCCTATATAGTGGTGAATAGTGGTAACAACACGTGGCGTGCAGATTGGTAGTACATGGACACCTTTTCCGCAGTCTTCTCTGAGGTTACGCGCTGATGGACTACCCCCGGTTCTTTGTGCCGGACTGGGGCACTGTGCCCATTCCGGAAGGAGCAAAGGTGGATCCGGACTTGCTGGCCACCAACGGCTATGACTTCAGGCGACGAGTTGGTTTTTTCCACTTCGGCACGAACATGGAAGTGCGCAGACCCCGAAGACGGTTGTGAACTTTTCGGCTTGAGAGTGAAAGGGTTTCGATCGAATGCCACATGCAGCATCAGGACGACATGTGGTGGAGGACCCTTTTGGTGGACATCATTTGCATGGAGAGCTACCTCCACCAAGCATTTTTGTTACAGTCGCAACTAAATCTCAACCCACGCTCATGTGTCACTGTCCGCTTTCCAGCTAGGCCCGTCAGCTTTCACTGGCATGCTGCTGCCGGCTGTAGTTTGGCCTAGTGTTCCTAACCTCACAATAGGAGCATAGTGATGCAACCAAGAGACGGGTTGAACCCTTTTTCCGTTGCCACTGGAAGCACGGCACCTGACCAGGAACAACATCAGGGGAGACACCTACATCTTCCTTTTGGGTCAGGACATGTTCGAGAAAACAAAGGCTCCGAGCGCACCGCTTCCGGATCCTGCTTTTCATGAGCGCAAACGGCCCTAACTTTGGGGTGCAAAGGCCACAGCGAAGCGACCTGATCCGACCTTTTGGTTTCCGCGATCCTTCTCAGTGACCCCAAAAAGTGATCACCTATTTCTTGTCCAAGTCTGGGGCAAGTGCGTGTAGTATAATTGGCCCAGAGCAGTTTGGAGCAATAAGTAGGGGAGCCATGGAAAGCAGTTGTTGAATTATAGGCCTGTTCCGAGTTCATTCCCCTCCTTGGTATCACAGAGAAGGACCCATTTCCCATTTCCCACATGTGTTTTAGATAAAGTTAAGGGACAATTCCGACCATAAATAAGTCCGGATATTAGATAGATTCTTTGCCATAGGCTTTGGGTTGCCCATCACTGGCTCTCTTCAGAGGCAATCTCTAATCCTTCCTGTGGCGTAAGGAATTGGCTCCCCCTTATAATTTGTCACTAAAGATGGAAAATCGGATGACGCGTTTTGAACAGAGATGATACCATCGGTCCCTACTGAACTTCGATGAACTTCGGGGGGGTTCTCATAAAACTTACCTCTTAAAAACACAACTTTTCTCAACTTTTTGGGTAACATGGGCTATACGTCTGTAAAAGATGAAAACTTCCCCCGGGCTTGGAGTTTTAAGGGGTTCTCATAAGATCGTCCCTGTGGATCGGGGCGAGGACTTGAGCGCTTGGTCCTCTGCCCGAGTGGAATTCCTGAAGCTCACAGGGCCCTGCCCCCTGCTGCCGGACTTCGCCTATGGGACCTGGTTCACCTACTGGCACAGCTACACCGAAGCCGAGGCACGAGGAACGAAGCGAAAGGGGGGGGATTTGGGGGGGGGGGGTTCGGGGGGTTCGGGGCAGCGTGTTGGATGGCGATGTTTTTTGTCTCGCTCGCTGAGTTCATGGCAGGAGTTTTTTGGGAAGACCATTGGGGCGGCAAACAGAAAACTCGGACTTCTTCTGGCCAGTCCACTTCGGATGTGAGTTGTTGGCTTAGACAGGGCGGTTGCCACTTTGGTTTCAACAAAACATGCCCCACTTCGAAGGATTGCTTTAATTACACAAACCATGGCCTCTGACAAACAAGCAGTGGCCCCCCATTTAAAGGAATTGGCTTAAGCACACAAACCACGGTCTGTAAAAAGGGGAACATAAATCGTGTTTGAAACATGTTGAAACGGCGGCCCCTGCCGCCAGGCGCCGGCACGAAGAGACCATGCCTCATTTTTGAGGTGCCTAAATGGAGAGACGGCCCACTTCTGTCGTTACGGATCGGGGGGAACTAAGTGCACTTGAAGGACGTTGACTGCTGACAGCAAGCAGGGTGTGAAGATCCGGTTCAAAGGATGTTGGTATTCCTTGCAGGAGAAGACACAAGATTGAAGCCACCTTTGACAGATTTGACTCAGTCACGTGTGAGTTGGTGCTTTTAGGCCAAGGATGACATCGAGCATTGGGAGCGCTTGAAGCTCCCCATCGACGTTTGGGCATTGGACATGAACTGGCGCAACACCTCAGACAATCAGGAGAGGGTCGCGCTCTCCCTTTGGTCCAGGCCCCGCGTTTCAATCTGGGGAGCGTGTGAGCAGCTTGTGCAACGAATAATAGTGTCCGTAGCTCATGTCTGTGTGTGTGTGTTGCTTTTGTGACTACAAGAGCCACAAAGGACAGGGTCTGATTTGTGGAGCGACTGAGATGATGTGTTGCAGTTTCGGAAGGACTGGTACTATGACCATCCGAACACCGCTCTCTTTCCCAACTTCACGGAGTGGTTCGAGTACCTCCGTGCCAGGAGATACTTGAATATGTATATATGTTCTATTGATATACGTATGTATTTTATTTCTACATACACACGACTACGTACGGTACAAAGTGGTATATATGGGACTCCCGGCGACCCCCCCTCTGCGACCCCCCGCGCAAGAAAAGAAGGAAAAAAGAACACATGCCCGAAGGACTGAACATAAATAAGAACATCAGGAGGGAGAAACGGAGAAGCACACCTCGATCTGAGACAGCATGCTTGATTCTTTGCTTCTCTTTCATATTGACGCAGATCTAGGTGTGCTTTTGTTTTTCCATTGTTGTTATCCTTTTGTTCTTAGCGGGACTGTCCACAATCCGATTGAGGTGGATGCATACTTTTTGACGGATGCTACATCCAATTGCGGGACAAGGCAGCTGTTTGTTGCCCAACAGTGGAGACGCTATGGAATGTACACATATACATATATATATATATATATATGTGAACATATATATATATATATACATAGATACATACATACACACATGAGCCTTCCCACATGCCCCACACAAACATACAGGACTCTAAGACTCTCATCCCCCCCCGCCCCCGCCCCCCCCCCGGTGGGTGGGGTGGTTTAGGGTTGGTTTGCGCTAGGGTTTCTTTTCCAATGGTCATGGTCCCCCCCCACCCCCCCCCAACCTCTAGGGCCCCAGGGTTGGTTTGGGCTTGGCTTATGGTGTGATGCAGAATGGGACTTCGGGTTGGTTTGGGGGCTGTGCGCCTGGGTGGGGGGGGGGGGGGGGCGGGGATGATAAAGGTCCATCAGCTTTTGGAATTGTAGTAATTTTTGCAGATATATACAAAAAAGACATATACACCTGTCGGTACACACGCATCAAGAGTTGCGTTGGCTGAAAGCACATAAGCAAACAATTTTGAACTCCCGCCCCCTGACCTTTACTGACCTATCGAGTTTGAGCCTACTTCGCTTGAATCGCCCCAAAGGACCTTTTGGCAACAAATGGTTTACTTCTCAACAAATAAATAGAAAAATAATGCCATGGCTCCTCAAAAAAAACACCCACAAGAAAAACACATGTCCAATGACCTTCTGCTGCGGGTTCCACACAGGAGGCTGCGGACCTACTTCAACGACCACCCCTACCCAGTGGCCAGCCGCAACGCGGGGGGTTTGCAGACCTCCCCCGAGGAGACCAAGTTCCGATGGCAGGGGCTCAGCGAGTGGATGGCCAAGGGCATGACCTACTGGTCCGGAGACCCAAACATCGGGGTTCCTTTTCTCGGTGTCTCCCAGCCATCCGGTTCCTTAGCTTTTTAGATCCTTTTAGTGTTTAGTGGTAGTTTCCTTTTAACCCATTAAAGGTTGAACAACATAAATTAATTCTTTTGATTGGGTTTGGGCAAAGAAATCGGGTTCAAAAGGCTAGAAATAGAGGGGCTCCACTGGTTTGGATTGGTTTTCTTCCGTTTAACATCCTTTTTCCAGGGCCATCTAGTTTTCCAGTTTGGTACTATATATATATACATATTTCCCTACACGTCGTGTTTGATCGGCGATTTGGACTGGAACTGTTTAGTTGAAACAGGTCGGATGGTCCATCCTTCTTGCAGAAGGATCAACAGCAACCAAGGTACATCCTTTTGATCGGTTTGGGCAATGAAACAATCTCGACTCCGGTTTAATAAGCCCCTGTTTACGAAATTCGGGGGTGGGGGCCCCTGCAAAAATGACGATTCCCACCAAACCCAAGGACACCCCCATATTAGTAAGCAGGGGTTGATTAATCCGGGGTCAACATTAGACGGGTTCCACTGGTTAGAAATAGATTGGTTCTGGTTTGGATTGGTTTGATGAAGTTTACCAGGGCCATCGATTTTTGCAGTTTGGTCAGACGTATTTTCCCTAAGTGTCCTTTTGATCGGTTGATCTTGGACTTTAGTTCCAATTTGGTTTGGATCTTTGGACCTTTGGACTTTTTGGTTTGAAACAGGTGGGATTCTTGATTGACACAGGTGGCATGTCCATTGGACCCACAAACAGGTGAGAACTTGTTGCAGAGGGATGAATACTAGGTCCCCAGTAGTGCCCTTTCACCCTTGTTTGGTTGGGAGGGTTCCCCTACTAAACTAGACAAAAAAACATCGGGTGCCAACTTATTCGAGCGCCTCTCTACTGGAGGACCCAGAATAGCAACCAAGGTTCGGGCAATGAGATCGATGGGCTCTATTTTTTTCGATTGGCTCAGTTGTTCATTTCCCACTAAAAATGGTCTTCCCCAAAAAAGGTTTCCCTTTTTTCCAGGGTCACTGAACAACTGAGTTGGTCTTATGTCGTCCATGTACCAGGGACGCCCCTCGATTTTTCCCTCAAAAAGTGAATGGCCAAATTGCCGAGCGGGTCAAGATGAAACCGCCGGAGCTCCGCAGGTTTTAGTCCATGTTTGCATTTACCGGGGCAAGCCATTTTGGGTGCCTTTGTTTGACCCACAGCCAAATTGCCGAGGGGGTGTGCACTTTTAATGGGTCCCGAAAATTCACGTCCACGCTGGAGGTGGTTCGCTATTGAACTTTATGTTGCTAGGGGTGAGCAAGGCTTCCTATGCTTCCTTCTTTGGTTAAGCAGGAGTTGCTTTCTGGTGTGATGTTGCTAGGGGAATCTACAGGGAACCCGCCGGACAAAAGACGGAATCCGAGTTTTCCCGGAAGGATATCTGATTGTTCTGTCTTTGCATGTCTCTTCACTGTTGCCATGTAAAAAGTCCTGTTCATTTTCCCGGGGGGGGGGGGGGGCTGCCAAAAACCGAAGCTGTTTGCAAGCCCATACCAAGGGTAAAGTCTTGATTCAAGCAATCCTCGTTTTTGTTGGACACGTGTCACATGCATCAGGTTTGTATAAAAACCTTGCATTGGTTGAACACAAACAGAACATTCATTGAGTTTTTGAATTGTTACAAGAACTTGGCAGGTGGTTTGACCACAACTGGAAGTTTTCCATCCCGCCGCCCTTCGTGAACCAGTCCACGACGGATGGCGTGTGGCAGGGTCTGGACAATGCCGCCTGGGGCTCCCACATTTATTACAGCGCGGTGGAGTACTACGACCGCCACGTCAGGCGGAAGCATTTGGGCATGTGTCCTCAACAGGTTCCTCTTTGGAAGGTGAAGTGGGTATCCTGAAAAACACACACCATATGCAGCTCTGAGGCTACTGTTTTTGAGAACGTGAAAGGAATTCCAAGAGTCCTGAAGCAAATACAAACAGGCAGTTTTGAGCTAGAAACTCAAGAAACCCCCACATGTTGGAGGTCCGGCATTTTTGGCCGCGCTTTTTTGGGCTTTGCCGATTGAAGGGCAGGCCCAAGAAGGTGGGTGCACGGCGCATCGCGTGCGGGCCTCGTCAGGGACAAGGCCGGGGACACCTTCTACGGCCGGCCGATGACTTTGACCAAGTTCGGAAAGCCGGACTGGAAGCCCGGCATGGATCCCCAGGCGCGGAGCGACGAGTTGCTGGTTGGACACGGGGCCTAGTATTGACGGGGTCTTGCAACCAGTTGTATGGGAAAAGGGCCCCAGTCCAAATTACTCACCAGGCAAACTTCCATCACAAAACGCTTGGGTTAGTGAGCCACAGATATGTCTCGCTCTCGACGGTCTTTGTTTTCACCTTTGGCATGGAGCTTTGGGGGCCGGTCTACTCGCAAGCTGTTGGGCCCCTTGCTTTTGCTTCGGAATCCCGGATTTCGGACCTCGAGCCACGCACCTGCGCTGAAGTCAAGCCTAAAGCACCACATTTTTTGGGCACCGAAGCACCTTCCAGCCCTAAAACCACCACCCCGCCCCCAGTCACACCAGGTAGAAGCACCAGAAACCTCAACCACCCACCCCACCCGCCCCACCCGCCCCACCCACCCCACCCACCCCGCCTACCCCACCCGCCCACCCCCCCTCAGCACCACCCACCCCACCCGCCCCACCCCACCCCTCCCCCAGGAGGCTGCAGAGCACCCCGCGCAGCACCGCTTCCCCGTGTGGTGGACGGGCGACGGGGTGGACCTCCAGGCGTCCACGGAGTCCATGGTGGACGCAGGCGGATTGGGCGGGGCGGATGGCGGGGAAGGGGCGGCCGTTTCCTTTCTTCTTGTTCTTTTTCTCCGGGGAAACCGTAGCCGGTTTTGGGGGGCTCAAAAATGGGGGGTGTTGTTGTTGTTGTTGTGTTGTTTTTGTTCAAGGGGCTCCCACCAAACAGTGGGTTTTCGTGCTTAGCCAATCCAAAACAGCGGCACCCCCCCTCACCAAAGCACAACAAAAAAAGCACACCCATAAATGGTGAACCGCTTTTTGCCGTGCAGGGAAACCAAAAGGAACCAACCCACGCTCACTATTTTGAGAAACACCCAACTGACATGTAGAGTATTGACACACTTCCAAAGCAGTGCTCTTGAAAGCGCCCTGTTTGCAAACGTTTACAAGGGTCACCTTCGCCAATAAGGAGCAACATGATCAAGATAGTAGTCACATTAGCTAAGTTGGATTGCTTCACCAAAGCTCGCAATCCCAGATGTCGAGGCGCCCCCCCGTTGGAAAGCCTACTGGCTTTCCACGCCCGTGCATGCTTCTGGGGAATTTGCAGGCATGAGTTTTGGAGGTTCAGAGGTTTCCTCTTCTATAATTGCATGTACTTCCTTGCCACCTTATTATTGGTGGCGTATAAGCCACTTTAGGCGTCCATGCTGTGGACAACATCCGGCACCACTTAGGCGGTTTGCCCCAAGTAGTCACATCAGGTTTCATCTATACTGGTGCGAAGGAGATCTTGTCCAGTACCTCTAAACCTCCCCTCTCCCTGAAAATGGTGTTGACAAAGACTGTTTTGGGAATGAAGCTCGGGATCCTCCAGGAAGCACTATGGTTCATATTTGCTAAACCACTATGGTTCAGAAGTTCATCAGGATCACCCTTGCCTGAGCAAGAATAGGATCTCGTAACTTGGTGGCTTTCAGCCATCCCCTTAGCTTTGTAGCATTTTAGTGTTTGGTAGTAGTTTCCATTCAACCTCTTAAGCGTTGGTGCGTTTTGCTTGGATATTAGGAGACTAACTTTTTGCCAACTAATAGGTTTTCCATTAAACCACTAAAATAACTTTTAGCAGGGGAGCAGACAACGACCGAGTTAAGATTTGGTGTCGGGTGTTCGATTTCGGTTTCAAAAGCCGTGAGTCAGGCCTGCACGGGTTGAAACCCTTCGTGCACTCGGACTGCGGGGGCGACGGTCGCCAGAGCGCCGGGGATTTGATGCGCTGGACGGCCCACTGCGTCTTCGGCGCCTCAACGACTGGGTTCCACTGGGTGGTTCTACCTGGCAATATTTTGGGGGATTGGTTTTTCATGGTTTTCATTGGAGGTTCTATCTCGTAATGTTCACCCCATGTGAATCAACCAACCAGTTTATGAAATACTTTTGGGGGTGAACCCATTGGGAGGTTCGACCTCGCAGTGTTCACAGTGTGTTCCATCGGGTGTGCGTGCAGTGGGATGGGGGTTTGTGTGTGTGTGTGTGTATCTGCGTGGGTCTGGACCGCATATGAGTTTCAACCAACCAATTATGAAATCCGGGTGGAAGCCAACCACTAAACTCGGGGAGACCCCCCTATTAATAGACTGGGGTTGATCAACATGGGGTCAACAGTGTTCGGGGATGGGACACCCATAGTGTGCATTTTGCGCAAAGATGGGAAACCCCTTGTTGTCAACTTGTTTTGGGAGGGGGTCCGTGTTTGTGTCTTTTTTGTGGGCCGTGTTCTCGTTTCTCAAACTTGGTGTAAGGGTGTCTCTTACATTCCTTTTTTTAGGGAGGGCTTTCCCTTTGTCAACTTTCTTTGGGAAGGCTTTCCCTTGTTTCGTTTTTGGGGAGGATGGGTTTCCCTCTTTCCAACTTGTGAACTTGTTTTGGGACTGGTTCCCTTTTTGTCCCCCTTCTGAAGTAGACTGCAGAAAAAAATGGGTCCCCTTATTCCAACCTCTCTGCCGGAGGACCTAGTTTGGTTTCGGGTTTTCGGTTTCGAGTTTTCAGCTGTTTCCCTTGGGTTTTTGATGGTTTCCTGAAAATAAGGATCCCTGGAAAGAATGGGGAAGGTACCCCTAGAATGTCCGTTTCCTCAACTTTGATTTGGTTAAGATAGTTTTATATTTTCCTGTGTTGGTTTTAAAAGGAATATATCGCTACTGGATTTATTTATTTTTCCATTGGACTTCAGCAAATGGAGGTGAATAGCCCATACTCGTTGAGGTAAGCCAAAGGGAAACCAAAGAGTTATGTTGTTCTTCCAGACCCTAGAGAAGCCAAAAGGGATGTGTATAGTTGGTTGATTGTTTGCCTAAGGAGCCCAAACCAAAATTAGGGAATCCCTAAGAGGGTGTAGTCCAAAAGGAGGGGGTCGCTCCCTAAGTTGAACCCTCAGAGCCCTAAGCAAAGGGAAGCCTGGGGCTCTCAACTACCCACCCCCCTTAATGTTCACCCAAAATTAATAAACCCGCCCCATTAGGGGGGGTGTTCCCTCCAAAAGTGGTCTGAATCCAACCGCTGAAAGGTGTCACCCCCCAATCAAAATCCACCAGGGGTTCTGCTTCATCCGGGGTTAAAATCACTAGGTTTGCGTGAATCCAACCACTAAACGGGGACACCGTTCTTTGGTCCGGGGTTAGGCTCCGCCCATCGCCGCGACTCTGAGGCTCCATCCTGCGGTTCCATGGCGCGGACCACCGGCCCTGGAGCTATGACAACCACACGCTCCAGGCGTTGGGTGTGTGGTCTGGTTTTTGCACAAGCCTCCATTTGCTTAAGTGTTATTATTATTATTATTATTATTATTATTATTATTATTATTATTATTATTTATTATTTGTATTTTTATTGTTTTTTTTTTTTATTATTATTAATATTATTATTATTATTATTATTATTATTATTATTATTATTATTATTATTATTATTATTATTATTATTATTATTATTATTATTATTATTATTATTTTTATTTGCTTTTTTCCCCTTTTTGGTTTTAAAAGGAATTCATCACTACTGGACAGATTTTCTCATTCTTTCCTGGGGCCTTGACCAAATGGAAGCAAGGGGTACCCAAAAGAAAACCGTCCCCGAAAAGCAGACACACGCACATAGGTGTCCTTTTGATCGGCTAGTTTGGTCAGAAATATGAGATGGGTTCCACTGGTTTGGAATTTTTTATGCCATGCATTTTCCAGGAGAACCCATCCACTTTACCAAAAAAGGACACCTGTGGTTGTTCGGCGTTTCTGTTTCGGTCTGAAAGAGCCACGGGCAAGTGTTTTGCTGGCCAGTTTGGGATGTTTCTGCGTTTTTTATGTGCGAAAGGACGGCCAGAGGGCCGGAAAAAGGGGCTCCAAATCTTCAGCCAGGTGATCTCCTCCTACTTGGGCATGAGGCACGGCGTCGAAAGTGTGCATTCTCCCTGAAGCCCCTATGGTTTGTTTTTCGACCTCAACCGGCATATATTTGTTACTGTGCACGTGATTGGCTGAGCGCGTAGTCTGTGAATCGAATTGCGCCAAGGGCAAAGATCCAGCTTTCGGGGGCGAGTTGGTTTTCATTTGAGAGAAACAGGCAAAGACGAGCCACCCCGTTTTCTAGGGGTTGATGCCCCATTCTTTCCAAGAACCATCGTTCTTTTCGAAAACCGGCTGTTTCACTTGGTTTTTCATGGTTTCCTGAAAAGATTCGGATCCCTGGAAAGAATGGAAATGGAAGGTACCTCTAGACTTTACCCCTTCTGGGTGAATTATAGCGGCCTCACACGACTTCACCCCAAATGGTGGTTTATGTGGGGAATATCCCTCCAACCACCGCAAGTTTCAGGTTGGTGAAATATTGTAATTCTCCTAGACCCCCTTTTTGATGGTTTCTGGAAAAGATTCGGATCCCTGGGTTCAGAATGGAACTGGAAGGTACCCCAAAGCTAACCTCCAGTTTTCAGGCTCGAGTTGTTTGTTGATTCAGAGGAAACAGACGAGTCGACGAGGCACCGCTTTTCGGCTCGAACCGGAGCCGCTGGCTTGAGAAGGTACAAGATGCTGCCCATGCTGCTCTCCGCTGGTCAGAAGGCCACCAAGACGGGATTTCCCTTGGTGGCGCGCGGGGATTTCTTCTGGCCCGAGCTCCTCTGATGAACTTCCCGTTGCATAAGAATATGTCTTATTTTCCCCTTTTGGTGTTAAAGGGAGTCTATCACTACTGGAAATCTGTTTTCTGTGTGTGTGTGTGTGTTTTTTTTCCCAGGGGGCTTAAGCAAATGGAGGTGAATAGCCCATAATTACTCGTTGAGGGAAGCCAAAGGAAAACCAAAAGAGTTATTTGCTTCTGCCAGACCTAGAGAAGCCAAAAGGGATGTGTATAGTTGTTTGCCAAGGGAGCCCAATAAAAATTAGGGAATCCCAAAGGGGGTGTAGTCCAAAAGGAGGGGGTCGCTCCCTAAGTTGAACCCTCAAAGCCCTAAAAAACCCAAGCAAAGGGAAGCCTGGGGCTCTCAACTACCCACCCCCCTTGTAACACCCCCCTCAGGGATTCCATTAGGGGATGTGCTTTGGTTTGGAGTTGTCCAAAATGTTTGATGCACCCAACTGGCAAAGAAAGAGGATGTGTTTGTTCTTCTTCCCGCCAAAACGCATGAGTATGTTTCATATGTGTCATTTCGTTTTTATGTTTAGTTGTTGGTTTTATGTTTGTTTTTTTTGTTTAATGTTTTTTGTTTGTTTGTGTATGTTTAGTTGTTTGTTTTATGTGTTTCTTTTCTTTCCAGACCCATCTCCCAGGCACCCTGAGAGTGCCTCCAACCAGCAGTACGTCTTCTTGGAGGACATCCTCGTGGCACCGATCTGGAACAGCGGCAGCAACATCACCAGCCGCCAGGCGAAGTGTTGAACGCCGGTGTTGAACGTCGCAGTTAGGTCCCCCAGTGCTCTTTCTCACCCCTTTTTTGGGGAGGCCCCTACTAAAATAGACAAAACTGCAAAAGGGCACCTATTCTAACCTCTCTTCTGGAGGAATCAGAGACAGCCATGGATTGTCCTTTGAAGCCCTCAAAAGTTGTTGGTGGACATAAACCCTACATAATGTCTAAAGCAAATGGCGGTGTCCGGAATTTTAATGGTTGGAACCCTAAGTGGTTGGTGGAGGATCTGAACCCCACCGAACTGTCCACATGTCGGGTCCCCAATAAAGATCCATAGTCAAATAGCACCTGAAGAGGACCGGGAAAGGGGGAAGTGTGTTGCATGCGGATGCAAGTGTTTGATTTACGCCTCCATGCTTTAGTTGGGTGGTTGTTGCGTGTTGCGCAGGCCCCAACGACTGGTGGCTGGACCTTGCGTGAGAGCTGTTCTCCCAATGTCCTGCCGCATGATGGAAAAGAACACTGCGAGGTCCAAATGCCTCAATCCCACTGCACTCCCCTTCCAACATGGAATCCAGGCAGATCTTAAAGAAGGGGCTGTTCAACACTGCGAGTGTTGGCGGATCCTGGTCCAAAGTCCCTACTTTGAAAGTCTCCGAAGAGGACCTTCTCGTAGAGGTAAGAGTTGAAGGATTGTTATCCTCCCCTTTTCCCCATGGAACCCGATTCTGGGGACTGGTTTGGACCATTTTCCTTTCAAAGGGACCCCTTGTCGGGAGGGGTGTCCCTGGGTGAAATGTGAATCAATCTATAGGGAGGGCTTCTTTGCGAATGTTGACCCAGACAGGCAATCCATCAGCGTCCAGCAACTGCTTCCCATGTCCAAAACTTCCATGTGAATTGGTGGGAGGGTTGCCCTCCCAGCAATTAACATGACACCTGATGTTCGGGAAAATGGTCTGGAAAGGAGACCATTTTCCCTTTAAAGGGATCCCTTGTTGGTGGGAGCCCAAGATAAGAGCCCGGGAGGAAAGAAGCGGAAGGCGCCTTGACTGCATCTGAGTCACCGCACCCGCCAGGTGTGGATCCCCCCTGGGCATTGGAAGGACAGCTGGGACGGCAGCATCACTGAGGCGCATCGGGGGAGTCACCCAAGGCAGTGCCGTTTGAGGATGCCCCTGAATTGGTTGTAAGAAGGAACAGGAAACACCGGTAACACCTTGGTGGTTTGAATTTGGATTTCAACCGCTGGTTCTTGTGGAGGCTAGATGGGAAACCACCCAGGACCTCCACCAACCCAAACCACCAATGAGTGGAAAGCTGACGAAAGGGAAACCAACACGAGGCTCACCATTGGGGCATGGGTGTACAACATGGTATGGCACATTTTTCTTTGAGTAGGGGAGCACTAAACCCAAATGGAGGAATGTGCTATCTACTTTCACCCTGGTCTTGATGAATCTAAGACGACCCAACCGAACCTGCAAAAGCTCGGTCCAAAGCAACATCCTCAAAACGTTCCTCTGGGTGGATTGAAGGTTCCCTTCCTTTCTTTCTTTTTTGTGGGGGGGGGAGCGGAATCAAAGCGCCCCAACATGGCTTACCGCCTTAAAGGCAAGCCAAAAGGAGCCTGTGTAAACAAAACTCTGAACGCGTTCCCATTCTCTTCACCCATTCTCCAAAAGTTTGCTCCACAGAATCCCAATGGAAATGAAAGGTACGGCTGGAACATGGTGAGAAATGCTTGGAAGGGAGCCGTTATGGAGCTGGGGGCATCCAAATTTGTTTGCAAAGAGGGAGTCTTTCGAAGCTATCAGGCCATGATCTTTTGTTTTGGCTTCACCACTCGCGCCAGGGGCCCAAGACCGTCACGGCCACTCAGCCCTGGGAGCGTCAGCCCATGTGGATCCGCCCGGGCGCCATGCTGGTCCTCACCGACGAGGCGTCGGGAAGCCATGCGATGCCGTGCAAGCCCCCTGTAAAGGGAGGCCAAGCGAAATCAATGGCCAGAGTGTGAAAATGTGCGTCCCAAACGGGGATGCGTAACAGAGTGTTTCTTTTTTTGCTCCCTTTGGGGATGCGTCATTGTTCTAATTTGTTCGGCCCTGAGCGCAGTTTTTCTTTTTTGGAAAGAAGGCTAAAAGGGTTTGATGGTGGCGTGTTTGTGTGTGTGTGTGTGTCAAGGGAAAGCAGAAGAATCCAGAGGAATGGCGACAACCCGAATTTCCTAAATGACATGCACGGACATGCATTGATGCTTTAACAACACTTGTTTAACCATGCTTTGTATGATTTGTCAGCAGTGGTTGCTGGACACAAATCCCAATGCACATGATGTCCACCAAAGCTTCCCTTAAATTCCATAGCCATTTGACGCGTCGCCCTGCAGGTGCCAAAGCGGGTGGAGGACGTGGATTGGTCTCGCCTGACTTTGGAGGTCTACCCCGCTGAGACCCGCAGGCACGCGAAGGTTTGCAAACATGCATGCGCCTATCTTGTTGCACGGCCAACACCCCACAATTCCCAAACCCCAGCACAAACCTCAAAATATCCAGCACCTACCTTGTTGAAAGCCCCCAAACCCTGGTACACTGGGGGGTTCTTTGTTCCCTTTTCAAGATTGAGGGCGTGCACCGTAGCACGAGTAACATGGACTGCAGTTGCTTTTGGGCTGCTGCGGCAGCTCATTTGATCAAGCATCTCCCTGGCTCAGGCAAAAGGTCTTGCACGAGCCCAACGGGGAAGAGACACAATTGCAGATGCGCCATGCCATCAGTTCTGCCTATAGCGAACTCGCCGATTCGGGGGGTATGGATAGCTCACAATGACAAAGGTCCTTTCGGTGGGGATCCCTGAATTCAGCTTTTGGAATTCTACTTGGCTGTGGCTAAAACAACTGTACCAAAATGGCACCTTGGTAAGTGGAACCAAAGACTAACACCTGTGTAGCTTTACTCAGAAACCCATGGCCGTGGTTTAACATTGGTCCCCCGCCACCATGAAGCCACCCAGCGGAAAACACCCTCCAATTCATATTCGCCGGGCCGAGGCAGCTGGAGAACGGCCACTTCCACCTGTCCATTGAGTCCAAGGCGTTTGTTCTCCAAGTCCTTCAAGTGCTTGGTTTAATTTTGGTTTCGCATGATCCAAACAGGGTTCCGATCTAAAACAAGTCGGAGTTCCCTTTCTCACTTCCTGAGTTCCTGACTTTAAGCTTTTTGGAAAGACCATTTTAGTGGCAAACAAAAAGTTTGGACTTTTTCCGGCTATTGACTGAGGAAGTGAAAGGGTTCCCATGGTCATTTGAGCCCAAACCAGGTGGCCAGGCGCTGGCGTTTGCGCGTGCATTTGCAGCCGGGACAGAAGATGTCGCAGATCTTCCTGGGTGGCCGAGCAGTTTGGCGTGAGAGACATCGAATCGTTGTCCCGATTTGGGGGTTCCATGTGAACAATTTGCAGGGAGTAACATGATTCGGTTTCATGGGTTTCGGACAACCCGTTGGCAGGGCTATTTCATCCCAATCATTTCAGACCACTTTGAGAAACGCACAGATGGGTGTTTCTCAAAATTGGGGACTCTCCAAACAGGTGGGCTCTCCTTTTGGTTTCCTTTAAAGACCATCAAAAAATATATATTTTGAGAAACACCCAGGAAACCAAAGATTTGTCTCTTACAACTTTGCTCACATTGGCAACTGATTGCCCTCCGCAAGCCCCTCCTAATCAGCTTGGCCCTTGAAACTCCTGTGCGGACATGGGCGGACTCAATGAGTTTCCACAAGGGCTCCTTTGCTTCAGCACCTTCGGCCAGATTGGATGCTGTAATCCAGCCAGTCTGATTGAATCAGAATCAGTGGTCAGGCAAGTTCGCGAAAGGCCAGAGAAATCTCTTGTGGCATACATATCTCCCTTCAAACGTCATGCCACAGGCAGGAAACTCACATTAAACTCCCTTTAACCGTTACCCCGCCCTAAATTGTCCCAACGCGTAGATGCAAGCCCACCAAAATGGAACATATGAGGGAATCCCTTTTCCGCTGATTGCCAGTGACGGAGCCTTCTCTTTGGGGGCCCCGAGGCGGTACCTGCGAAATCGAGCGCTGGCAGCTCGTTGTTGTCGGCGCCTGGCACTGTGGTGGAGCTGGAACTGCAAGGATCGACGCAGCATTTGAAGGCGAGACCGCGCAGACGGTTTCTGAGGAATCGCGAAGTGCTTACACGGTTTCTAGGTCCCTCAGTAGTGCCTGCCCTTTCTCATCCCTTGTTTGGGGTTTTGGGTTCCCCTGCTAAAATAGACAAAACTGAAAAAAGAATCGGGTACCAACTTATTCGACCCTCTCTACTGGACCTGGGTTCCAACTTGGGGGTCTTCCAGCCCAGGGCCTTTTTGGGTGAACCACTTAGTTCGCCCCGGAGCCTCGGGTTGCATGGCCGGGTGCGGAGGCGTGAAGCCGAGGCTTGGCTGACTGAAACCATTTTGAAACCTACCAACGTTCGGCCAACCCAAGCACCATAAAGAACCGCCGGGCTATGAATAGGACCATGTTTTCCACACCTCTTTTTCGACCTCACGAGATTGAGGTCGGGAACGTGGAAGAAATGAACACAGTAAAACTTTTCACCTCAGCCCGAAGCAGCCCTGAACAGCCCCAAAACAAGAAGGACAATCGAAAGCTTGACAGGCATCCCCGTTTGATGTCCAGAAAAGCACCAACCAGGCGGTGATCAGCAGCGAGGAGACTCTGATCGGCCTGGTCATTTAGAGATTGGTGTTTGCCCACACTTTAGACGTGTCTCAAGCTGTGAAATTGATATAATAACAAAATTAAGCAATTATAATTACTATTGTCAATGATACAAAAAGAAGACATGTTTGATTGGAATACATTTATTATTATTTAGACAATTATGTTTAACCATATTTGAATGTTTAAAACATGGAAAACAAAACAAGCCTATATGTTCGCAAAATATGTTTGTATTTTCGGAGGTCAGATAAAACAAAAATAACCAAAGGTGTCATTATTTTTGTTTGTATTGTTTAGTTTGTTGCGAAGGTGTTATGGAAAGTTGGTAATATGAAATGGTCGGATGCGAGTAGGGAATGTTTGAGATGTTGTTATTTTTAATTGGGTATTTGGGCGGTTGGATGAATAAAATAGAATCTCGAAATAATATGTATTTGTTGTTGTATATTGAAAATTATTTAAAAATTGATATTATATATTTGATATAGTGTTTAGATTGATATTATCCTATAATTCTCCTATAAACCGGTGCGGCCTCGAGGTCGCATTTCCCGTGCACCGCAGAGCCGCTGCAGCGGTACTCCGGCCGAATCGACGTGCTTACGGCGAGCGGCTATGCCCGTCCCGGTCTTCTCTCCGCGGCGTGAGCTCCTCCCTCTTTCGCGGCCTGGAAGTCCCCGAAATTTTGCCGAAATTGCTGGGGGTTCTTTAGATCTTCGCTTTGAGTGCCCGCAGCGTAACCTGGCCAAATTTTCCCGAATCTTGGGTCGCTTCCGGCGACCTGGCTCTCCGAACTGCAGACGTTGCCCGCAGAAACTTCTTCAGAATTTGGTGGCTTTCCAAAAAAAATTCCGTGTCAAATTTCCGGAACATTTGGGGACCTGTCCGGATGGAAATGTCTCGAAAATTTGTGCCTTCCTTCTTTCCCTTTTTCCGTCTTCCCTCTTTCCCTCTTTCTCTCTTTCTCTCTTTCTCTCTTTCTCTCTTTCTCTGTTTCTTTCTGGTTCTCTTTCTCTCTTCGCCTGTTTCTCCTTTTTCTCTCTTTCTCTTTTTTTTATTTTTTTATTTTTGTCTTTTTCTCTCTGTCTTTCTGTCTATCTCTCCTTGTCTCTCTGTCTCTCTGTCTCTGTGTCTGTCTGTGTCTGTCTGTGTCTGTCTGTGTCTGTCTGTGTCTGTGTCTGTCTGTGTCTGTCTGTGTCTGTCTGTGTCTGTCTGTGTCTGTCTGTGTCTGTCTGTGTCTGTCTGTGTCTGTCTGTGTCTGTCTGTGTCTGTCTGTGTGTCTGTGTCTGTCTGTGTCTGTCTGTGTCTGTCTGTGTCTGTCTGTGTCTGTCTGTGTCTGTCTGTGTCTGTCTGTGTCTGTCTGTGTCTGTCTGTCTGTCTGTCTGTCTGTCTGTGTCTGTCTGTGTCTGTCTGTGTCTGTCTGTGTCTGTCTGTGTCTGTCTGTCTGTCTGTCTGTCTGTCTGTCTGTCTGTCTGTCTGTCTGTGTCTGTCTCTGTCTGTCTGTCTGTCTGTCTGTCTGTCTGTCTGTCTGTCTGTCTGTCTGTCTGTCTGTCTGTCTGTCTGTCTGTCTCTGTGTCTGTGTGTCTGTGTGTTTGTGCGTCTGTGCGTCTGTCTTTGTTTGTTTTGTTTGGTGTTGTTGGTTTTTTTGGTTTGTTTGTTTGGCTGTTTGTTTGTTTATTTATTTATTTGTGTTTATTGTGGTAACTGAGGTAAGATTTTACGAAGTTTTTACTAGGAATTTCTCAAGGTTTATTAGGGTTTTATTGGGAGGGGTGTTATAAAGATTTGTTGGATGATTATAAAGATTATATTAAATGATATAGATTTGCTTTTGCATGATATTTTAAAATTGTGGTAATTGATTTTGATTGGCTACTATCATGGTTTGATTTGAAATAGGTTTAAATTGATTTATTGGATATTTTTGTTTTATGAATTCTATAGGTTGTTATATTATTGTTTGAAGGTAAAGAACAATATTGAATTTTGATTTTGCTATTAATTTTGGACTGGTGTAGATTTGTTTAAAGATGTATTATTACTTTTTTTTTGCGGGGGGAGGCGGTATTTAATGTTATTTTGTGGCATATTTGAGAAGAAGTAGAATTATGAATAATGTTTGTTTTGTTTTGTTGCCAAAATTGTATATAGGTATTGTGCCGATTTTGTGTCCCGAAATTAGTGGTTTTGTGTTGCTTTGTATATGTTTTGTTATTGATTATGATTTATTTCTTTTTTTTAAATATTGTAAGTTAATCCCCAATATGAATGCTTAAGAATATAATTTTGAATGTTTAAGAACATAATTTTCGAAGTTATCTAAGAATATATGGTATGTTTTCATGTTGTTATATACGGCATTTCTCCCTTTTAAAACCCGTTTTTTTCACACCGGTTTATGGGCCATTATTGGAAATAATAGATTCTCTTTCGGATTCACATTATGGGCCCGTTATAACGGTACTCCGACCGAATCGTTATGCTTACGGAGACCGACTATGCTCGTCCCAGCTTCTGCCTCTTAGTCCTCCGGCCTCTTTAAATCTTTATTTGGAGTTCCCGTGGCGAACCTAGCCAATGTATGTTTCCCAAATTTTGGGTCGTTTCCATTCGAATTCTAAACGTTACCCCTGCAAATTCTTTAGGATTTGATAGCTTCCCGAAAAAATTAATGGGTTAAATTTCCGAGATATTTTAGAACCTATCGGATTCGAAATTTCTTTATATTGCAAGCCGAGCCCTAGCATATATGTTCGATTGCGTAATATAATCCTCGAACATATTTGCATAAATATAGTATGTTTCTGCGTGGTCGCGTGTTATATATCTTTCGTTTGAGAATCGTTTTTATTGGAAATAACGGGTTTTCTATGGTAGCAATATTATTTCAACACAAACCAGTTTACTAATCATGTAAAAATAAATCCCACAAGTATATCTTATATATTTAAATATTTTGGAGATTTAGATTTAAATAAATCTATATTTAGGTCCGATCAATATATATATATATATATATATCGCGAAATATTAAAAATAATAAAATGTTAATATCAACAACAATATTAAATCAATAAAACCATAATACAAACAAAAACATTATCAAAGATAATCTGGTACAAACACAAACACCAACCACAAACAAACAAACAAACAAACAACAATATATATATATATAGCGATAAATATAAACACAAACCAACACAACACAAACAAACTAAAACAAAAATAAACTAAAATTAATCGATAGGAAAACAACAAACAAAACACAACAGAAGACAAAAAGAGACAGAGAAAAACATAACAACAAACAGAAATAGTGAAAAAAGGGAAACCAAAACAAACATAGAAAATAACAGAATAAGAGAATAAGATAAAGTGTGATATAAATAATTTTCAAGAAATGCAGAAATAGACAAAAAGAGAGGCAGACAGACAAAGAGACAGAGAAATAAAGAGAAAGAGGGAGAGAGACAAAAAATACAACAGAGAAAAAAACACAACAAAGAGAAGAAAGAGAGAAGGAGAGAAAGAGAGAAAGAGAGAAAAAGAGAGACGGAGAGACGGAGAGAAGGGAAAAGGGAAAATCTGGGATAGATTTTGAATTGTGTAAGTCCCAAAAATTCTCAAAATATTTGATATCTGGAATATTTCAGGAAATTGGTCCCTGCAAAAAATGAAGCCACTACATCTTCCGGATTATAGCCGGGGTAACCCGGACAGATTTGGGTAAGCGGTCCGTAGGAAATATGAAGCGGTTCCTCTTCCAGGGGCAGCCCGGACCAATTTTCTGAAATATCCGGGATTTTTCGGAAAAGCGGTCCGGGAAAACGCGCGCAAGTGCGACGAGCAAGTTTCACGGTTTCGTTTTATAGAGTAAATATAACGAGCATCCAACCAAAAAAAATCGGGAAAATCGTAGCCACCCACCATTTTCTCGAAATATTCCGAATATTTCGGGAACCGTTTTCCCGAAATATTCCAAATATTTCGGGAAATGCTGTTGTCGAAATATCCGGAATCTTTCGGAAAAATGGTCTGGAGTGCAATTATCGAAATATCCGGAGTATTTCGGAAAAATGGTCCGGGTTTTGAACGAAGCCGTTGTGTCTTCCAGATAAAGAGTCGGGGCATATATCTGCCTGTCCGTAGCAATTTTGGCTGAAATCTTGGCCCATCTTCCAAGAGTTTGGCGATGCGAGAAGCTGTGAGCCGCGGCCGATTGTTGCGACCAGCGGGGTTTTTCCCAATACTTTGGGCGAAATCAGTTCGGCTTTGCTTGCGCCCAGGATGTTTTCTGGCCGATCGCGTTTTCGCTTGCGCTTGCAACAACTGCGTGTGTGGATGGATCTTTTGAGGCCAACAGCCCGCGGATCCGTTCTCACCTTGCTCAGGCGATCGCCTTTCACTGACTCCTTGGCGTGACCTTATCGCGACCAGCCCGGCCCTCAGCGCGTCTCGCGACCAGTGTTTGGAGAACGGCAGCATTCTTTTCGCATGCGACGAGTATACATTTTTTGATACATATGAGATGATAAAATATGTTGGTGCCTGAGTTGCAAAAAATGTCTTGCCGGCGCGGGCTCTATAAGATTTGCTCTATTCTTGGCACACCCACCACGGCCTGGACCTTGGCCCCTGAGAGCTCGGCCCTTTTTTGGCACCCGCCTCAACTTACCCCTAATTACTGGTTTGGATTGGTGGTTTGGGGTGGATCATGTTGAAGTTGAATGGGAAACCACCCCCTAACCTCCAAAACACCGATCCAAACTACCAATCCAAACCGGGCCGGTAGCAACCCGGCCAAAGAGGGCCGCCGAACACCTGCAACCACCTCCTGGCCACGGGCCAGAATACAGCCGTCGTGGAGGGCAAGGAGAGCGGCGGGGCAGCGCCGAGACAAGCGCGTGACAAACCGTTTCCCACTGGCTCGCTCCACTGGGCGAGAGCGCCAGGGGACAAGCGGCCACCCGGCCAGCGGCCGCGTGCAACTGGGGCACGCGCAGCCGAGAAATCGCACGCGCGTTCTTGCAGCCCGTCTGCGTCACGGCTCTCGGGCTCGGAGTCGGACGCGTGCACGTGCGCAGGCGAAGGTGGCATGTCAACATCAGAATCCGGCGCGCTGCGCGCCGGAGGTGTGTCTCTTTTTGTCTCTGTCTCTCTGTCGGTGACTGTCTCTGTCATTCTCTGTCTCTCTTTGTCTGTTGGTCTCTTTGTCTCTGGCATCTGTTTGTCTGTCTGTCTGTCTGTCTATCTGTCTGTCTGTGTCTGTCTGTGTCTATCTGTCTGTCTGTGTGTCTGTCTGTCTGTCTGTGTCTGTCTGTCTGTCTGTGTCTGTCTGTGTCTGTCTGTCTGTCTGTGTCTGTCTGTCTGTCTGTGTCTGTCTGTTTCTGTGTTTGTCTGTGTCTGTGTTTGTCTGTGTCTGTGTTTTTGTTTGTGTCTGTGTCTGTGTCTGTTTGTCTGTGTCTGTTTGTCTGTGTCTGTCTGTCTGTGTCTGTCTGTGTCTGTCTGTCTGTCTCTTTTTGTCTGTGTTTGTTTGTCTGTGTTTGTTTGTCTGTGTTTGTTTGTTTGTTTGCGTGTCTGTGTTTGTGTGGTTGTGTGGTTTTGTGTTTGTGTGTTTGTGTTTGTGTGGTTGTGTGGTTTTGTGTTTGTGTGTTTGTGTTTGTGTGTTTGTGTTTGTGTGGTTGTGTTTACGTTTGTGTGTGTGTTTTTTGTTTTTGTTGTTATTTTGCATTTGTTTTTGTTTTTGTTTGTTTATTTGTTTATTTGTTTGAAATTGATTTTGTGTAGTGTAATTTTTATGAATTTATGAAATTTAATTGATATTGTATAGGTTAATTATTATGAATTTATAAAATTTAGGGTTCGATTTTTATGTTAATATTAGAATAATTTTGATGGATATTGGAAGATATATTTAGGTGTGTATAATATTTAAGAGCAAGATTTAAAATATTATATTTTAGATTTTGTAGGTTGGATTATGTTAAAATAATTTAATTATAGAGATTACAAATATATATTGTAGGATATAAAATTCGAACATGTTTTCGTTGTTGTTTCGGTTTGGATTTTGGAGGAATAAGAATGATGAGATAGTGTGGTTTAGCTTAAGAATGTATGATTTAGGTTGATCGAAATCGCATTGATATGATTTATTATGGAACGAATATAAATGAGTGGGGCGATTATTTTTGATATATGATGGTGTTTTTTATTATGATTTTGTTTAGTTTGTGTTTAATGGAATTACCATTTTTTGAATTATGAGAAATTTATGTTTTTTGGATCGAGATTCTCGACCTTTTTTTGTGTGTTTGGTTTGGATTTCGTTTTTAGAGCGGGATGATACAATTTCTATGCCTAAATTGGGTAGACGAGATTTTATTTCTCGGATATATTTTGTTATTAATGTCCTTATTCATTATATTACAGATTATTAATCCTTTTGTGGAAGCAATTGCGCGAAGTTGTTCAACGAACACTTATGAAGGATGTTGTTTGCGAGGTTAGACAATTAATTGTCTAGATATTTCGTTATTATTCTGATTGAAATTTTGTGCCCGTTTTGCGAGACTTTGGCGATGTGAGATCCGATTGTTGTGATTAGTGGCGTGTTTTTCCCAATATTTTGAGCGAAATTAGTTCCGTTTTATTTGCACCTAGGATATGATCTGGTCGATGGTGTTTTCGCATGCGTTGTAATAATTGCGTATGGGAATGGATTTTTTGAGATTAATAATCCATGGAATTGTTCTGCCCTTGTTTACACGATCGTTTTTCATTGACTATATATCTATATGTTGATATCGGACACCTGAGATACATTGTTGCTTTGTGCATCGCAGTGCTTTAGGAAATATATTGAGGTGTTGCTGAGAAGTTCCATCTACAATTCGTCTTTAGATAGTTTGATTTCTAGAATTGGGTCTCCAATTCAGTGTAGTACACAATCTTTCGAAGTATTTTGCCTGGGTAGGGTCTAAGGCAAAGGGTCAAAATCGTAATTATGGTTTCTCGAAATATGCCGAAATTGGTTTTTCTGCCTATTTCTATTTCTATAAATATACTCGTGCATATCTATCTATGATGATTAGATTAGATTTTTTTGTAATTTTACATTTTGATTCTGTTACTCTCCTGTTCTGGGCTTCATCTCGCACGCTGCTGGAAAGCAGCGGGCGCCCGTTAGTTTTAATCAAATTTATGAAAATAATGTTTTGAGATTTGAGAGTCGGGTTGTTGGAAATAATCTAAGAAAAATTGACTAGGATATATTATGAGAATTTTAAAAGGCCTCATAATTTTCGGAAAATGTCGACAAAATTACGGGGTTTTTTGAGCCGCGCTAAGAGGCCGCGGAGAAAAGACCGGGGCGATGATCCGGCCAGAATAGTAATAGCTTTACATAAAAATACGATTCCGAATAATAATATATATACATATAAATAATTAAATAAATTATATTATTTAATATTAAATTCTAATATATATATATATTAAATAATATATTATATCTATATATATATATACATATTGGTTTCAATATTTTATAAACTATTAAAATAATATGTTTTATTTATTTATGTAATTTTAATATATATATATATTATAAATATTAATTAATTAATTCTTTAATATATAATATATATATTTAAACAATTTTGGAAACAGATTATTATATAATTTATTCTTAAAAAAATATATGTTATTTATTATTATAAATCAAATAATATATATCTATATCAAAATCAATAATCAATTTCATATTAAAATTAAAGTATTTTATTTATTATTTCAATATAAAAATTAGATAATATTTCAATCATATAATCTTCTATAAATTAATTCATATCTAAAAAACCATATTACATCTTTTTAAATACAAACACCCTATTTATACATAAAAATAATATATCACACATAGATTAATATATTATAAAGACAAAACATAACAAAACAACATAATCTCAATAAAATATTAGAAAGAACCCATTAATTCCATCAACGGCAATACCAACTAAAAAGAAGGAGGAAAAAAAGAAAGAAAACAACAAACAAAAAAGCAACATAAAGAAAAAGAAAAAAGAGAAAGAACAAACAAAACAAACAAAAGGGGAAACATAATAAAACAAAGCAAATAAACAAACAAACAAAAAAAGAAAGCACGAAAAACAAAAGAGAGAAGAAGAAAAAAAAGAGAAAGAGAAAAAGAGAGAGAATAAAGAAACCAATAAAGAGAGAAAGACAAAAAGAAAGAGAAAAAAAGAGAGAAAAAGATAAAGAAAAAAGAGAGAAAGAGAAAAAAAAGAGAGAAAGAAAAAGAGACCCATAGCAGGAGGAATTGTTGCTAGCGAAAATACCCAACGTGGAAGAAACCCCGGCAAAGAGCAATCAATGCCCCAACAGGACGTAGACAAGCTATCCCTCATCCTGTGAGCGATAAAGCAGCACCCCAGGGAGAAAAAGAAAGAGAAGAAGAAAAAAAGAGAGAGAAAAAGAGAGAAAGAGAGAGAGAAAAAGAGAGAAAGAGAGAGAAAGAGAGAGAGAAAGAGAGAGAGTAAGAGAGAGAGAAAGAGAGAGAGAAAGAGAGAGAGAAAGAGAGAGAGAGAGAAAGAGAGAGAGAGAGAGAGAGAGAAAAAAAGAGAGAGAAAGAGAAAAAGAGAGAAACAGAGAAAGAAAGAGAGAGAAAAAGAAAAAGAGAGAGAGAAAGAAAGAAAGAAAGAAAGAAAGAAAGAGAAAGAGAGAGAGAAAGAAAGAAAGAAAGAAAGAAAGAAAGAAAAAGAGAGAGAGAAAGAAAAACAAAAGAAAAAGAAAAAAAAAGGCAAACAAACAAGCAAAAACAATAAAACTTAGGAATTAAAAGAAACACAGAATGAAAGGAAACAAGCGGAGCTTGCAAGAAATGCAGCATGCGGTAACGCGGAAATATGCCGTCTTTGTAAAGCATAAATAAAAAGATAAAGATAAAAACAAAGATATATAGACATTACCAAATAAACAAATGCAAATATGCGGAAACAAACAAAACAATCATAAAAAGACACAAAAACAAACAAATAGAAACAAAGAGGCGAAAACACCCGAAAGAAACAAATTAAGACATATATAAAGATACATAAAAATAGGCAAAAAAAAACAAAGATTTAGAAATCTACAACCTCATAAAGAAAGACATCTAGCACGAATTTTTCGACTCGAACAAATTCCCAAATTTCCACAACATTTAACCCAATATTTTTTTTCGGCAAACCACCAAATTCGGAAGAAATTTGTGGGATATCGGAAATTAAATTTAAGAGAATTTAACCAATTACACCGTGAAAATTCTAAAACAAATCCCCCAGAAGAAAAAAACAATAAATTATACCGTATAATTTTTCGCCACAAGCACAACAATTCAGCCAAAATACAATTACAACGATTTACCAATATATGGCAAATACATCAAAACCATACCAATTTATAAAAAATAATAATTAATAATTATTATTTATTCAATACCAATTTATATATATATATATATCTATTAATATATATATTCAAAAATTTATTATATTTTTATATTTATTCATTTCTATTATAATAACAATAATATTATATCGATTTATATTTATCAACATTATATTATTTATATTATTTATATTTATATTAAAATGTAAATTAACATACATTATATGTAATATAAAACACCGTATAAACATACCTTTAATCCACAAGTTGCAAATAAAAAACACTATTATATATATTTATAATGTATATGTTAAATTATAACTAAATAATATTTTGAATTTGATATATGAATTAATTTAAATTGATTATATGCGGCATCAAGAGACAGACTCTGCACTTTGGTCTTCCAGTGTCATGTACTATTGTGAATCAAGCTGACCGTGAAAGGACACCTATAGCAAAGCTGCCTCGTTTTCCACTCTCCGTCATTTTTTTGCTATCTTCCATGTCGCAAGTTTTGTAACTGGACGATCCATTGCTCACAGGACCTCATTGTTCAGCTTGCACGCTGCAGGAGCTTCAAGCAACAGCCCGCCAAGGCATAACCACCTTGTCAAAGTGGCTGAATACCCAGCTCAGCTATTGGAGGTTCCTTTGATATCTTGTCCTGCAACCAACTAGGCCGGAAGTCGCACTGCCCTCTATGTCTCCACAACACCCTTGCAAAGACTTCAAGAAAGCGCCCAAAAATCCAACGTCAACGTGCAGCGCACGGCTGCGCGCATGGTTGCTTCCTGATGAGCGCATGGCGGGAGGTAAAAGTCCACCGTGCGGGCGCTGTGGCTGACCTTTGCGCGTTCGCTCCAGGCAAGGCGCCGGCGCGCAGCAAAAATAAATCTGCGCCGCGTGGTCGAAGGTGCACCGTGCTTCGGGCCCACGAGTATTGTCCACCTTGACCTTGACTTCCTCGTCTGCCACCGGAGGATCCCCCAGTCGATGTACTTTTCCGGGCAAGGGATCATCAAGTGCGCTCTCCGATGATGACGAGATTCCTGCGGCCAAACCAACTCGCGCGCGGTCTGGAAATATACATATATATATATATATATATATATATGTATATAGAGGGTGTGTCGTTTTGTGAGGGTACTCCTTTTTGGCTGGTGTGAAAGACCCCACCCACTTTCCTGCTTTGTTCGGACGCGGGACTCTTCGCCCGTCCCCGCCTCTGGGAAAATTCTTCAGGGAACATCCCCAGCGTGCAGCGCAGGCGCTGGTTCCAGCCGATCGCTTGCAGGCGCAAGGCAGCTATCACTTTCAGGGCCCGGAAGGAGATGTCCTCAGCCCCGGTGGGAGAAATGGTACCCTTTCTCCCACTAACATGCCACATTACAGAGGCTTCATTCAAGAGGAACTTGATCGTCCAGGTACCAATTTTCAGGTGCTATGTTAGTGGGAGGGAGGGAGGGTACCCGTTTCAGCCTCCATTTTTGTGAGTTGGTACTCTGTTCTTGCTGGTTTCCTTTTGAAACCAAGAGGAACACCACTATTTTTTTGGAGGTGTCCCCTTAAAAATGACAGACCCATATTTTGTTTTGGGGGTTCTCTGTCCCGTTTCCCGCTTCAGCCTTCTCCAACCGAAGCGCGGACAAGCGGAACAGGAGGGATGGGGGGTTTAGGATCGGGCAGGATTGATGGCCTTGGACCTTGATGTCTTGACTAGTGTCAACACATTGCTAGAACGCAACCAAGCAACCAAGCAACCAAGCAACCAAGCAACCAAGCAAGCAAGCAAGCAAGCAAGCAAGCAAGCAAGCAAGCAAGCAAGCAAGCAACCAACCAACCAAGCTGAGGGACGCAGTTGGAACAGACCCATGCATGATTTCATTGGTGTTTTGGAGGCGAATCGGTTTGGTGGTGAAATGGAGGGGCTTCCCATCCATGTAGAAGAACCAGGAAATCAAATCCAAACCACCGGGCTCCAAACCACCATGGTTGTTCTTCAAGGCAAACTTTTGCCAGAAACCTGGGCTGCGCCGAAGCTCCTGGGCAAAAGCTGGATAGACCTTTTCTAAGTGGAAAAGCCATGTGTTTCCTTTGCGGGTCCTTTTGGGGCGATTTGGTCACACCAAAGGCCAGACACACCAAAGGCCAGAGTTTGTTGGTTGATTTTCAAGGGGCTGAGAGTTTCAATGTAGGAAACCTCGAAAGCGGTTGGTTCCCTTAACCCCCATTTGATGTCCACCGTTTCGGGTCCCCAATCAAAATTCACACCTGAGCTGTGCTCAGATCCCCTGCTAAAAGCTTACTTTTCAAGCGGGTTAAATGAAAACCCAACCACTAAACCAACTCAACAACTAAAAACCAAAGCAACCGGACGGCAACAGCCAAGATACCCAAGAAAACCCCCATTTCAATTAAGGGAACCTCCAAAGTGGTTGGTTCCCTGAACCCCCATTTGATGTCCACCCTTTTGCGGGTTCATCAAAATTCATACCCAATAGACCATTTTGATCTCCACCCTTTTGGTTCAAAATTCATACCAAACAAATAAACAAGTTTGATCTCCACCGTTTTCGTTCAAAGTTCAACAAATACCCACCCAACAAATCATCAAGTTTGATCTCCAAAAAAGGTGAGAACCCCTTGCCCCCACCCCCCCAAAAAAAAAAGAAGGTGAGAACCGCTTGCCACGTGGCCCGACGATCCAGTTCCGCCAGCTGCCGCAGGGTCTGCGCCTCCTCCGGCGGATTCGGCCCAGTCTCCTTCGAAGGTGCGCGTGTGCGCCTTGTGTGCCCGGGGTGAGGTCTACAAATTGGTCTTCCTTCTCGATTTTTTGTTTGAGTTGCGGGGGGGGGGGGGGGGGTGAGGTCTATATATATTGGTTCGTGCGAATGGGAAACCCAAAGGGAAAACAAGGAGCCAATCATTTCTGAAGTCGCGGCGAGTTCTCCGTGGAATTTCGGAGTAACCTTGAGAGTCCGAAGCAGCAGCAAGCCCTACCGAAGCAGCAAGCCTTTAGGCATCAGTTTTGTTTTGATGCCGGGTGCCCCTTTTTGCCTGGGGCACCAAATTGAAACCACCCCATTTTGGAGGTCGAGACCTCATGTGGGTGCTTTTTCTAGCGCGGAACCCTACACAAGTCCTCTTGGTGTCCCTTCGAAACCACAAAAAAAACAGACTCATTCTGAGACACCCAACAAAAACCACCCAACAACAAGACAAACACATTCTGAGACACCCTGAAAAACCACCCCCCACCCCTAAAAAAAAAGAGGCTTATTTTGAGACACCCTGAAAACCCACCAAAAAAATAACAGGCTTATTTTGAGACACCCTGAAAAACCCCCCCCCCCAAAAAAAAAAACAAAAAAAAATGAGACACCCTGAACCCCCAAAAAAAAACAACTGCTTATTTTGAGACACCCTGAACCCCCCCCCCAAAAAAAAAAAAAAACAAAACAAAACGACAACAACAACAAAACGGACTCATTCTGAGACCAGCTTGGATCCTCTGCACTCTTTCCCTCCTTCGCCAGGAAAGGCAGCAGCGAGGACCAGCCGTTCGCGGGCTCCAGGTGCTGATGCTTCAAGTGGCAACACGGGCACACCAGAAAGGGCACCTCGCGAGAGCGAATGACCCACCCAATCAAGAAGCGCTTTTCTTTGAGCGGTTGAAAGAAATCGAACCCACCAAAAATCGGACCTGTGCTTGCCTTTGAGTGGTTGAAAACAAGAGAAACATGCTAGGACATCTAGGACCAGGAACATGCTGCTCGCTTGCAAAGAAACACATGCACGCGCCGGTGTGGCTGTGAACAAAACCCGTTCGGGAGAAGGATCTCTTTCCCTCTCGAGACGGCAGCGTGCGTGCAACGATGGTCAACAAATGGCAGCAGAGCATCAACCCTTCATCAAGCAGGCATTGCCGACTACGACAATATGGTGCGTTCGTGAGGCCCTGAGCCTTTTCATGGGATGGCCACTACGAAAGACTTCTTGCAAAGACTCCTGCCGTGCATCCATTGGGGAAGGATTTGACGCCCTGATATTCATGTCTCCGATAGGTCTTGGCTGAACCACTATCTCTTCATCAGAATGTGTGCAATTTGTTAAGATCACTCCTATTGCCTGGTGTATTGACACAGGAGTGTGGCAAGTTCTAATTTCTTTGGCTACTTCCCGCCTGTCTCTGTCTTGCAAACTCCAGCACAGCATCGCTCAAACCGCCACAGGCGTGCAAGGCCACAACCATGTCGACGGCCGGCAAACGCTCGCGGCTGCCTGCAAACGCTGTTGACTCAAGCATGCGCTGGGGCATTTGTGGATGGACAAAATCCACATTGCACCATTTGGTAGGTGGTTGACCCCTGTGTTCACCGAGTTGCATCCATCCCAACTGGTGCCATCCACAGAGTGATCTCGTACATCAATCTTGTCCACCCACAGCATGATTTCCAACATCAACACACCAGCTTTGAACAATTCACAAATGACAAGCATCTAGCTTGCATTAAATGACAATCACGCTTGTGGCATGTTAGAATTCATTAGTTGGAATCCGTTTCGCCCCGATCTGTCCTTTTAGAGGCCCCGTCCTTCGTCTCCAAAGTCCAGATTCATGAAATCAATGGCCAGGTGCCGCTTGGCGGCTGCCTCGCGACCAGCTTGCAGCGAGGGGTCATTGACATCCACCACCGTCACCCGCGCATCCTCACTTGAGTCGTAATCAGAATCATCCTCGAAATGCAAGTCAACTGCACTGATTTCTTTGCAGGTCGTGTTGAAGGGAAAATAGATGGGTATGAACTCTTGCTGGTGCGATCGGTCGGGGATATCCGCACCCACTTATGGCAAGGGACTATTTTGTTACTAGCATTCATCTACCCAGGTTTTTTGAGCAAGTGGCTCACTTGCCCAAAGGACCCTGGAAATAACAGGCTGACCTTTTGGGCCCTTTAAAAGTGGACCTTGAAAACACCAAAAGGTCAAAGGTCAACTTCTGCGACTGAGCATCAAAAGCTGCGGCGATCTGCATGGCGAGGTCCCCACGGCCCCCGCCCACGTCCAAGACGTGGGAGAAGGCGTCGAAAGCCCTTAGGCGCCTCACGAGCGCAAGGTGAACACCACAGCTCGCCTGGAACCTGCCTTTGGGGGGTCCTGGTTCTTTGAAAGGGACCGGGTCCCTGTCAGGTTCCAGGTTAATTGGTGGGAGGGCAAACCAAACGGGGGAGTTGTGCCTTTCACCCAACTCTGTCTTCTTCCCTGGCACGGCACGCACAATTTAGTCACCCTATTCAATTCATTGGTGTCTGAACAAAGGAGCCTGCTCTGAAAGCTGGAAGACAAATCCGTGCCTTGCCTATCACACAATGTCACAAAGGCGAACCGTCACTGCACAATATATTGGGATCTGGAGAGGATCGACCACCAGGCATACGTGGCAAACATGCTCGATGAATACAAAGTGTTGTTGGATTTGATGCAAGGTCACCACATTGTGTTTGTTCTCCTAAAAGCAACATTTCAGGCAACCCTTCAGGAATTTGAACCCCAATTCGTGTTGAACCCAACTGGGACAGGTACCAAACCACCAAACCTCCCAAACCACCACCTCGAGGGAAGCTGAACTTCTGACCTTCGTCTTGTTTCGCCGACCTTTTTTGGAGCCCAAGGCCACCCAAGAGCCCGCCTGAGGAACCACCGGATCTGGGGCCACTTCTTGCCGTGGCAGTACTCCCCGCGGGAGAGCGGGCCGCGGGCGCTGCCGGCGCGGGGGTCCAGGTCCGGAGCCATCTCCGGGCCTGGCAGATCCTGAGGCGCTTCGCGAAGCTCCGACTTCAACGAGGCTTTGCTTCGCCTTTTTCGGAGTTGGCGCCCCCTTGTTTTGCTGCAGGGTTTCAGGGGAAAGCACGACAAAAAAAAGCAAGCATCTTTTTTTCGTTTGGGGGGGAGCGGTCCCTAAAAAAGACGGAGACCCATCAGGTAGGTGGTTGGCCGCTTCCCTCTAGTTGGTGGTTTGGAGGGTTTGGAGGCGAGGGATTGTTTCCCACTTCAAGTCCCTCAAACCACCAATCCGAACCACAATTCGGGGTTACTTGAATGAATGTAGGGAGCCCTTCAAAAACAAATAGATAGACCTGGCAAATGGAATAAAATCCATTCTCATCTATATCTAACCCTTCTAAGCTAAAAAGGCCACCCATGCTTGCAACTTGCTGGTCAGCAGGGCATGCCCACAAACTCAAAAGGAATCCATCCATTCCCCCTGTTGACTCCTTGACCAAGGCAAATCTTGGGCCGGATCCCCAACCAATGCCTTCCTTGCACTTCCAAACCTTCCGGAAAAACCGAGCATGTTCAAAGAGCCCTGAAGCCTTCAGGGGCAAGCTGGCTAGTGGATCCCAGTTGCCGCTATCTTGGTTGACGCTGGAAGGGGAGCAACAATTTACATTTCAGCAGTTAAGTGGGGATTTCCCACCAAACCAGCAACCAACAAGTGTTCCTCTTGGTGTTGAAAAGTGTGCTTCCCTTGGCTACTATACAGGGAAACGGAATCACTGGGGGTGGTGGACGAAAAGAACGATGGTTGAACAGAATCGAACCTCAACCTCGATTGGGGATTGGGAGGTAAACAGATTTGCCAAGGCTCTCGTTGCTGCTATATAGGATTACCGCTGTCACAAGGGGGCGTATGCAACTGAAAGTAAGGCACCATGCTTCAACATATATGAGCAGCCCGCCTAACTTCGCAGTGAGCTTCAAACTCACAGGTTCACGGATTGGAAACAGCACATGAGTATGCCTCAACATGTGACCGCCAAAATGCTGGGTTTTCTTTTGGTCTCCTTTTCAAAAGCAAGGGAACCACGCGCACATCGATCTTCTTGTGCCAACTCCACAAGCGACACCTCACTATGCAGGCCTCTGGCGGTGGCGGTTCTTCCGCAGCCCAGGCATCCAAAGGCGGAGCCAAAACTGCCTCAAGCGCCTCAAGCAGCCTCAGGTCCTGCTTGCGCACCTGACTTACCCCCGGGAGTCTTAAAATCGAGGCACAAAGATTTGGGTTTGTCTCAACATGTTGGGAAATTTTGGCCCCACGTCTGGTTTCAGTTGCCGTGTTGGTTTCCCTTTGGACCAAGGTGAGAAGAGTACCCTCCAAAAACAAACACACACCCACACAGACACACACACACACACCCACCCACCCACGCACCCACCCACCCACACACCCGCGCCCGCGCACACCCGCGCCCGCGCACACCCGCGCCCGCGCACACCCGCGCCCGCGCACACC